TAAGTACAAAATATAGTTTACTTAGTAAACAGTTTAATTGGAGTACAGCAAATCAACGTTTGAACATACTGGTGCTTCTGAGTATCTCCTCCTTACAGTTAGACTTTCCAGGGCATTTAGAGATCTGAACGTCTGAGGTCATGTTTTTCTTGCAGATTTTCTGGCAAAATAGTAATTTGCTATTTTTAGTTGCAGCATCAAGTCTCTGTTACTGAAGCCAAGGCCTTATTTACACTCAAAAGCTATAAAGCTACTCTGAAGTCCTTATAAAGAGGGCTTTCTTTCCTTCTGCAGTGCTGTTACATTCACCGGTCTTCGGTGCCCTGCATTTGCTGCTGACCAGGGCTGTTTTGCTGGAGAAGCAAAACAGCTTCTCCACTTGCCTCGTGCTCTGTGTCCTCTGAGGGTGAGGCTACAGGAAGGTTTCAGGAAGGCTTCCTTCTGCACTGGGAGGATGCTTAGGAAATTTTCAGCTGTCCTTGCTCCTTACCAGGAGGAAGATGCCTGCTGCTCTTGTTTGGCAGCCATGGAAGCTGTGGCTTTGTAAGCACTCCCCTATGACCAAGAGTAGCCTAACATGGCCACACACCCGATCTTCGAGTGTTTGTGCACCTTGATTTCATAAATATTAGTACAGTCTTCATTTGTAGGTTGTAGGATTGCCATCTCATTATGCACAAGGTAGCTGAGGATGGGGCTGTTCAGGTGGCAGCAGCAAAGCTGAAGGCAGATAGCACTGCTGGCTCTTTGTGCACCGTGTCTGCTGTTACAATTGGGATGTTATTGCCCAGAGCTCCAGGAAGCCACCAATGTGCCAATAATGTGCCACTGGGGGGAACAGGGAGGAAAAGGGAAATCTAAACCGGAGGGGCTGGACAACATGGAAAATATTCCTGATAATTATCTAACAAATAAAGCATTTCAATTGCTGCCTTTCAGGTGTGGTATGTTTGACAGTTGTTTTTAAAAGATCACATCGGTATCCTGAAGTGGGTATGACTGAACAGCCCTGCAGGCACGTGCTGGAGCTCTTTGTTCTCTCACTGCTGTGCTTTGCATTGCACGAGGAAGAGCTGCTGCCACAGAGGTGCTTGGGAAGATGCACAAATGCACTGAGCTACCTGACGGTGTCCCTTAGAACCCAGGGCGATGCAGGCAGCAAAGGACCACAGCAGCCAGTTAAGAAAATCCACATTTCTGCTAATCAGAAAATCCAAAAAGTGCTCATTTCCCTGCTGCCTCTTCTTGTGTTTCAGTATTTGTTTGCATTGTATTTGTTTAGGAGTTTGGACCTTGTTTTGTTACCCAGGTTACTGCGCAAACCTTAGGAAATACATTACATAGTGGAAAACTGACTGAAATCTTTTGCTTTAACATCTTTTTAGTTTTTAATTTCGTTAGATGCAGACAGATGATTCAACCAGCTTCCCTTATCTACTGATTGAAGTTGCACTGCGGCACTTTCAATGCCTCCTTGTAGCAACATGCAGTTCTTCAAGCTCAGGCCTCCATCACGGCCCAGCTGCTCTGCAGCCAGGGCTTAAGGACAGCACTTCATTTTGTGTCAGCCGTTTTGCTGGAGGATTTTGTTCAACTGCTGCTGAAGGCAATGTGCTGCTTTTCTGTGGGATGCTGAATCGAGCAAAGGTTTGGTCCTGAGCCCTTAGAGAAACATGAGCCCAGAAGCATTGAATTAGCAGCAGTGGTTGAAGAGATGAATCTGTTGTATATGTATGTCTGGCATGCAGCATTTTTCATTTGTTTTCCCTGTTTTTAGCGTGTCACTTGCTGAATATGCATATTTTATATTTAAATAAAAGATTAATGTGTAACTGTGGAAGCATAGCCCTGGAAAGAGTCTTCTAGCGTGGGGCTGCTTTTTAAAACTGGTGAAATATTAGAAAGAAAAGACTTGTTTGCATGTGACTTGTTACACCGTGCTTAAAAGCTTGAAGTAATAAAGCTGCTCCCTTATTGGCATTAAAGCTAATTTCAGTGTAATTACTCATTAACACAGCTCTGCACTGCTGAGCAGTCTGCTGACATGGCTGTGTACAAATCAGTTTGCAATGGCACTCAGGGCGCTTTGAGAAAGAATGGGGAGAGAAGGAAAGGAAGGAACCCATTCCTCTGAGTGCATCCCACGGCTGCCAAATGCTGTTCATTGTGGCTTTCCATGGGTGAATTGAATTGTCTCTTCACAGCTTAGCTCGCTCGTAGGATTTACACATCCCTTGTGCTTTCCTTTGGTTCACAGTTTGTTTTTCAGATGGCACCGATCTTCTGCTGTGCGTGACCGACCTACCTGTAATGCTGTCAGGAGAAGCGTTCCTAGGCTTGAATCTTGCACAAAGAGAAAACTGAGGTTCTCTGAACCTGGAAGTGCTGGCAGCTCTGCCAGACTCCTTACTTTGATGTCTTCAGGGCCACTGGGCACGCGGGTCCCTTATAGATCTTCTTCATTAGATAGGCAGGCCAATGCGGGAGTATGGGAGGTGTGTTATAGAACTTAGGTCATCGAATGGCCTGGGTTGAAAAGGACCACAATGCTCATCCAGTTCCAACCCCCCTGATTGTGCAGGGTCACCAACTACCAGACCAGGCTGCTCAGAGCCACATCCAGCCTGGCCTTGAATGCCTCCAGGGATGGGGCATCCGTCCGACCACCTTCAGCCTTTTGTCTCAATGTAATCATTTAAAAAATATTTGTGTTGTGTTTTAACCAACTACAGTGATGGTAGAGACATCACCATTACCTGCAAAGATAGGTAGGATGCATCTGGGTCAGGAGCATGTGATTTGAAGCAGATCACCTGTTAGGACCAAGATGTGTGGGGGAAACCAAAGTGCTGACGTAAGGTAATGCAAGGTATGTGGTTTCACACATTCTGAGTGTGAAGAGGTATCCCAGCTCCACGAGCAAAGCTGCTGTTCTGAAGAGTGGCCCATCTAATGCAGCTCTTTAGAGTTTTATAAGGTCATACAGTAGAAATTAATTTCTGCCGGTCTTCATAGAGTTAAAGCAACGACTGAAACAATGGCTATAAAAACTTAATTTCTATAGCAAGTGCCTCTTGTGATGGATATTTCTGAAACATCTTTACTTTCTATATTTTAAAAGGGAGACATTTCACATGCTGAATAGTTATACTAACTGTGAGAAGTGTAAATCAGAGTGCAGGGAATGGCTGAGAGGATGCTGCATTTGTCTGATGCAGTTGTACAACACCGATACGTATTTATAGCAGCTTCCTTCAAACTGTTTCATGGTTTTAAATAATACTACCAATTCAAGTAGTTAATAAAGGTGCACTCCTGGAGGAAATCTTATTACGGGGACAAAAAGTAGTTTAGATTTAGCAATGAACATGAAGTAATGGTGTCATCCATTGGTTGGAGGTAGGGTGTTGGGGAATGGTAAGTTGGTCCATTGCTGTTCTGGTATTGCAGGGTGCTTAACGAGACATCCTTGTGCACTTACCTATCTGTGAGGTGTGTTTTCAATTCAAGATGTGTATGTTCCTGGCTCTGGGAGCCTTGCAGAGTCGTCAAAAGATGCAGATACTGAAGTGAAAAGTTCTGAGTTCGGTATCAAAGCAAGAAGAAAGGCATAACATTGTGCTCATCTGATAAAAGCAGCTGTTTTATTCTTCCACCGTTGTCAGTGGCGGCTGACAATAGAAATGCAAAAATGAGCTCTGCGAATTCAAGACCTCACACGGTGTGTTTCCTGTAGTTCATTTCTGGTCTCCTTGCTGCTTTTGACACGCGTCCATGCATTGTGGTGGCTCTTCAGGTGGAGGTGCTGCAGCTCTTCCCAAAAGCTGTGCCATTCTGAACTCCTTTCTTGGGAAGATCGGAGCCATTTTAGTTAGCAAGTGAATAAATGTATTTGGCAGCAGAGACTGTGGTGTGGAAAATGTCAGTGAGTGGCTTAAGCTTGGTAAATAATTAAGAATCCAGGAAAATTCAAGGTGTCGCGAACTTTAGGTTTCTGTTACCGTCTGTGTTTCCTGTAATACCCTGTGGTAATTGGGGTCCAGCTGCTCAGAATATTACTGTTAGATTTACCGGATGGATTGCTTTAATAGGATTTGGAGAACAGCTATTTGTACGTTACAACTTCTGCTCTTAACTTGTCAACCTTTTAATGCAATAATCCTGGAGATTTAGGCCAGCCTTAAAGCAGTAACGTAGGAAAACGTGCATGACTTAGCACAAAAAAGTCCATAAAGCCTCCACGTAACGTGAACCGAGTTGTTTGTGCCTGTTAGCATCTTTCTAAAAGGCCGTGCTAAATGTGAGAGCTGGGATGGAAAGGCAGCCATAATCCTGGGGGAGGTTTGGGAACACGGCTCTGTGTCCACTGCTGTGCCAGGGCTGTCACCACGTCCTGTGCAGAGCTGGGACCAAGCAGTGAGAAGCAGTTATGTGAGCTGACTCCAGCCTTTAATTGCACAGCCTGGAGTTTGTACCCCTCCAAGGGCTTTGGTGGGTTCCATCTGCCTTTTTTGTTGCTAATGATTGAAAATGGTACTAATTAATTCTGTGTGTTAATGAAAAAAAGTAGAAAATGGGGTCTGGATGTGTTCTTGAATAAATGATGCTGGTTGGTTTTTTTTTTATTCGAAAATGCTTGGTATTACATCTGGTTTACAAAGGCATGAAAATATTGTGTGAAAATATTGTATGAGGCCATATTTTATCCTCAGCCTTCACCCTTCCCTCTCCCTTGCCACTTCCATTACAATGGAGATTTGGTCTGCCTGCTCGACAGTGATGTGTCCTTTAATACTTCCCATTAGTTTCCAGTAGTTACCTTTGCCTGCATGTCAGCCTTCAGTTTAATGGCCTTTTTTGTGTGTGTTCATTTTGTTTTGTTTCCCATCGTGGTTTTGTTTATTTCTTTTGTTTTTTTTTCCCTGTTTTCTTTTTCTTTTTTTTTTTTAAACCGTGGTGATGTTTGCCCTTCATATTCCCCAATGTTTGCACATGACAAGATGTTGCCATCCCAACATTACCTCCCACTTCACTGACCAGTGCCACTAATGACCATCTAGCACCAGCTACAACGGGACCACTGCCTACAGCCCCTCGGGACGTCGTGGCCACCCTCGTCTCCACTCGCTTCATCAGGCTGACGTGGCGGACACCGGTGTCAGACCCGCAGGGAGACAACCTCACCTATTCCATCTTCTACACCAAGGAAGGTATCAACAGGTAAAGACATGCTCTTACAAGTCACGTATGTGCCTATTTTCAATTGGCCGCCAGCAGTTGCTACCTGCTTTCAGCAGACTGTTAAGCTAAGAGCAAGTGTAGACTGTAGCACCTCTTTAGCATCACTGACACTACCAGCTTCTGCTTTAAAACCTTCAAATATAGTCTGATTGTGGAGTCAAGTGGCTGTCAGTTAGATGATTTCCATCTAGGAATCCCTGTAAAAGGTTTAGGCCAGTCTACCCTTTCTCTTACTGATGGGATCAGACCTTGATGGGCTCAGAATAGCTTCAAATTGTGATAAGACTGAAGAAGTTGGAGCTAACAATCATTTTAAGTGGTGCTTAATTAATTACAAATTAGCTTGATTATCAGATTTATTAGTCAAAAGAAAATTATCTGCTTACTAACTACAGGGTGAGGCTCAAAGATAGCAAAGTCATGTGGAAAGAATACAAAATGTGCTCCCATTCGGAGAGTTTTTTTCTCAAATATACATCTTTAATTCCGTGGATGGTCCTCTTGTCGAGGCTCAGGACTGAGGCAATTAGTAACGTTTTCAGTGCCTCGCAAATGTTGGGTTGTCTGCTACTTACTGATTTTGGTAATATTCAATCCTATTGGAAACAGGAAAAGTGGCAGCAGCCAACCTGCCTGCCTTTCTTCCTTCGTATTTCTGGTTTTGACTGCTCTCCCCACTGGGCTGTTAAGAAAGTAATGCGCTGGAATCGGCTTCCTGCCTCTCCCTGCACTGGGTCTTGCTTTTGGAGAAGACAAAGTGCATGGCTTGCTACTACATGCAAGACTACAGAAATCTAGCAAATATCCCAGTTGGGTCAGAAGCAGTATGCAGAACAAAGGTTTTCCATTGTTTGTGGTGAGTAAACCAGGAAATTACAGGACAGGCTGCAGGAACTGCAGTTGCCAGCAGTAGGAAAACAGCCCTCTGGGGTTCAGGTAATGTGCCCCACAGAAAGTTTGCACTGCAAAGTGCTTAAGCTGGTGCTTACATGTAAGCAGGTGGTTTCACTGACTGCAGTGAAAGCTTTGTTTGCTCAAGTGCCCTTCTGGGTCAGGGTTCAAAGCAGGGCTCAGGAAGCCATTCATTGGCACATATTCATTATTTTCTAGCTGCTTCAAGTTTTGTGCTGTGCCAATATCACACATTTCACATATTAGCACAAAAGTGTTGTGAAATTGTGACATGAAACTTGTATTTAGACAATGAAAATGATAAAATTAAAAATAATAATGCTCGAGAATGAGAAGCTTGTACTACTTGGCCTCCTGTGCTACACCTGGCATGGGTGCTGTTTGCCTCATCTCCATCAGATTAGATGTGACCTGACGTTGCTGACAGCTTGCTGGTGTCAGTTCATTAGGGCATGAATTTGGGAGCTATTAAGCTGAATTAAGCAAATAATTGAGCGTGATACATTGCGTATGAGAAGAGCTCAGGTAAACGTGAGCTGAGTGCTTCCTTCTAGCTGGGAGGTTAGAAATAACTCTTCATTGAATTTTAGGGCATGTTTAAAGTTATGGCTCAGAGTAATTCAAATGTTAAATGCACTTGAAGTGGTATTAACCGCTCTTGAAGTGCAGAGAATGGACCAGAGCTGTGCTGAGGTTTTTGGCTTGCTGGTTCTGTCAGCTTTCATACTTTGGCACCTGGGATAGAAGAGTGAGGAATGTCCTCTATAGCTGAGATGGTGATGTCCACTCCCAGCCCTGAACTGGGCTCTGTGCAATCAGTAAATTATCTATACTTTGCACTCAGCATTCTAAAAATCCCTATTTTTACGTATTTTCCAATATTAGCTTCTTAGCAATGTTTTGCGTGCACGTGTGGGGGCAGTGCTGTTTGATGTACAGCTAGGTTTACATTTTTAAATACTGCTTAGTATGGATAAGCACAAAACCAACAGAAACCAACTGCATAGAGATGATAATGTTAAAACGTGTGGAATTTTTAGTTGGAATTCAAAGGCAGAGGTAAGTATTGTAACAGTTGAAAAATGCAGACACGTGATTTAATCTTTCACAAATGCTCTGTTTTCTTCTTACTTGGTAAGTTTTGCCGAGTTGTTTGGGCCCTGTGTAAGTATTGCTTTGTTACTGACTCAAAAATAGGTGAGAATGTCCCACGTAAGTAGGCACTGCAAAACCAGAAAGTTTTCATGTCAAATCTGGATGTATGACCTTTCTTTCTCAGCATCATAAAATACTGTTTAAACATTTGCTAGGTGGCCCTTGAATTATACATGATCATACATCTCTGCTGTAGTCTTAAGTGCATATATCCTGTTTCCTAAAAGTCGTGTGTTTGTGCCTACTTGTACCATTTTCATTACCAGATCCCTGTAGTAACCTAAGCGTTATCTCTTCCTCACTTGAGTTTGAGCAGTGGTCATTGGATTGATTTCCCTTTTACGTTGGGCTTTTAAAACATTTAAGAAGTGCACAGGATGTGGAACAGCTCAGTTAGATATTCTGACATCTCTAATTCATCCGTGAGGGGCTGTAGGTTCAGCTCGGCACGGTGAGGCACAGCAGCCCTGGGTACCTGTTGGCTCTGGGAGAGACCAGGCCTCAGCCTCTGCTGCGTTACATCCCTCTTGTTTTTTGCCCACCCAGTGAAATGAGAGATGCATGACAGCTCAAGAAGGTGTTCCTTCACTTTGCATTTTGGACGTCCTTGGAGTGCTGCAGAATATTCCCACACAGAACGTGGGTTTCCCCACAGAATCCTTAGGGTCCTCCTGTGCCACAGGTCAGCTTTCCTTCACCGGTGCCTTCAGGAGCCATCCTGCCCTCAGCCCACAGCACTGAGATGTTTCCCATTTTCAACTCAGCATCTGCTTGCAAAGCAAATTTGGCCTTCAAGTTGAGCACTGCAGAGGAATATCAGCGCTACAAAAGGAGAAACTGCAGCAGAAATGCCAGTTCTTCTAGATTTTGGTGCTTGCTTTTATTGCTTTTGAAGTGATTCTGGCTGGTCTGGGCAGGTTTTGGTGTCTGTTGAGGACTGAGAAGGTACAAGATGGTAACTCTGGTTTGGCTTAGCGAGCTACAGATAATGGAACTTGCTTGTTTGCAGTCGTGCTGCTCACCTCTGTCCTTCCCCAAAGCTTTTAGTTCTGAGAGCATGACTTCAGGCTTTACATTTCCAGATGATCCCTTGTTTCTGGATGTGAGCTGTAGATTTTTTCCCCTAAGTGCGTGACAGCTACTGTAAACCTTAATTCTAGTTTACAAAGCTCTTTAATTGGGGATTAAACTGGCATGAGTTAGAACAGTCATAAGGTTCTGTCTGGTAATATAGATATTCCTATAGACCATCTGTTTTGTTACCTGTTCTGCCAACCAAAATGCATCAGAGCTCATAAAAGGTGCTCAAGGCTTCCTAGGAAAGGGCATAAAGGAGAGATTCATGAAGCACTTAATTAGATTAATCTCACCATATTTTTAACTGTTGTGAGGGAAGGCACGGTCCCTACTTATTACTGAAAATTGCAATACTTTGGCATGTCTATTTATTTTTTGATAAACGTTGTGTTTCCATTAAAAATAATTTGGGTGGGTTTTTTTTTTTTTTTTTTTTGTAATTTTAAATAATAACCTTGGATTGCTGACATTTTTCTGATAAAATCAGTGAGTGCATTCACACTCGAGGCAGAAAATGCAATGTATTTTGCATGTCAATGGGAGATGAATGCTGTTCCACAGCTGTGAATCAGTTAGCACTTATTCTGGGTTTTCAAATACCTTCATTATATCTAAGGCACGTCTTAAAGGAAACTAACCATTTGAAAATGCATTTTCAAGCAAACATTTTGCTCCAGCTATAACTGGAAAAGTTAGCGAGGGAAAATATTTATCTTTTTTCCCTGCCTCCCTTTCATTTTGTAGAGGGAATTATCCTTCTTTAGCTTCTCTACAACTTCTTTTGTGCAAAAATACCCTATAATGTTAAAAGAAACCTTTTGCAGACCGTTTTAATTCTAATGTAGGGATGCTGCTCACTCAAAGATGACAATTAAATAAATCTGAAATAAATTAAGCTGTTTATGCAATGCCATTTTAGATCAACTTTTGTGAAGGAGAATATTCTAGAAAATGTGCTTGAACAGCTTTTTAGTTACAGTTAGAATATTGTTTCCCTCTGTATAGAAGCAGTATAACAGTGCAGAAATGAGCAGTGTTTTCCAAGCGTTTGAAACCCAGTTGTGTTAAATCAACCTTAGTAGTTGATTTTAAAAGAAATAAATTAAAAATGGGGAATTGGGCATTGTATTTCCGTGCTGTAATCTAAACCATAATGGCTGGAAGGTAGGAAAGGGGAAACTGTGGAATAATTTTGCCCAGACTTCTGCATTAAAAATGATTTAATAGCAGTTAATCGTTGGGACGAGAATCGTCTGCCCTCTGCTGTAGAGCTAACCGAAGTCTGTCAGACAAAAGGGCAATGTTTCTATTCAAACCATTCACGTTTTTCTTTTATTTCCCTATGGTGAAGTTCTCAGTTTTTTTGTTTTTTTTTTCTTCCCCAATACTGCTGTTATTTCCATTTTGCAGGAGTAGATAGCTTCGTTCCAAGCCAGAACAATCCATACACAGCCCTACCCAGCAGTAGCTGCGGGAAGGTTCACGTGACAGCATCAAGGTGGTGGAAATGAAGGTTGCAGTTAGTTGATAATTAATCTTTTAGTCTTCACCTCAGGCCTGGGCTTGGTACGGAGCGATGGGGTTTCCTGAAGTTGCTCTCAGTGATCCCCATTTGTGCTGGGGCCGTGGGCAGGAGTTGCCTTGTGTTGACTCCACGACTTGGGTGGTAACAGCAGCAGTGCCCCAGCTGTGTGCGGGGCTGGATGCGAGTCGGGGCCTCGGGATGTTTTTAAAGAATCTAAATATTAGGGAGGAACTAAGTAAAGTTTGGAGGGAAAAGAAAATCGTAAAACAGCCTCTTGAGAAGATACACAAAAAGCAACCCCACAATGTTAACAGAAATGCCTTAAATCTCACCAGAGTCTGTGTACAATTCTTAAATATTTTCTCTTGTGGCTTCAGAACAGTAGGATAGACTGTCACGATGAGTAATGGCACGCCGTTAGGAGAATAACAATGAAACTGCTTCGAATTTGGTGATGCTGAGCATAAATTACTCTTTTACTTCAGTGAGTATTTTCTCTAAAGACAAGTTACAAAACTGGAAGCTGTTTGTCACCGGCAATTTTGGCATATTACCAGTTTTGTGTAGTCAGCGTGGTGTAAATAATGTCATTAATGCATCAGATGCATTCAGACAGGATACGTGTCAGCTTTGTTCCCAGTAGCACCCTATTCCTTTCTATAGCTGCTCAAAAACCCTCTCACTAACCAACGGCTGCTTCCGTGCCCCATCTTTTTGTTTCCCAAAGGGAACGTGTTGAAAACACCAGTCGTCCTGGAGAGACACAAGTGATGATCCAAAACCTGATGCCAGAAACAGTTTATGTCTTCAGAGTTGTGGCTCAGAACAAGCACGGCCACGGAGAGAGCTCAGCACCACTGAAGGTGGCCACGCAGCCCGAGGGTAAGCTGCAAATGTTCCAAGCCCTCTCTGCTTTGGTGTTGACTTTTTTCCATTCATGGCCTTTCCCAGGATAAGGTGCTACTCTTAAAAGTTGCACTTGCAGACCTGATTTTAAAAATAATGTTGTGGGCTGCCTTGTTGGTATGCTTTATGCTCACTCTTAACTCGTAAGTCATGCCTTGTTAACTTCTCTAAATTTTGTTATAGAAGAACGCTTTCAGTTGTCATTACTTGTAAAGTTGATGCTGAAATGTTTAGCTGCTGAAATGCAATGGCTGGGCTTGCTGATGAGCAGAGTTTCCTGCTTCCATTGCAGTTCAGCTGCCTGGTCCAGCACCCAATATCCGAGCATACGCCAGCTCCCCCACCTCTGTCACCATCACGTGGGAAACGCCGCTGTCTGGCAATGGGGAAATCCAGAACTACAAGCTCTACTACATGGAGAAGGGGCAGGACAGTGAGCAGGTATGGAGTGGGGCTCTTCTGTGCAATATACAGTGCCAGCATTCTTTCCTTTATTGTGCTTTTACCTTACGTTTCTAGAAACACCTTGCCAAGTGTTTATTTTTCTGGCAAGCTGAAGCCTTTAGCCCAGAATGCAGAAACATTTAAAATTAAACATCCAGACTGTTAAAAAAACTGCTTTGTCATTCTGCATGAATGTTTTAGCAGTATTTGCATAAAAATTGAAGCAGCTTTTAGGTGATGGCTTACTTACCTACGTACTCAGCATCAAGTGGCATTTGGGGATGTCTATCATATCACGAGGAATAAACTCTGAAGAATCAAATAACACCTGCAGCATTATTTTTATAGGCTGGCTGCTTTTATTTTAGTAAAGTAGGATAACTGCTGATTTTATTCTGCTCCTGAATCTAAACTGTTCTCACTTCTTGAGTTCACTGATCCAGTGATTGGTATTTTGATACTGGTGAGAGTCTAATTAATTACACTTTCTTAGGATTCTGCTGGGAGAATCCAGCATGCTTCGTACGAGTGCAAGGAGCTACCTAAGAAATAATCACAGCTTTGGGAGAGCTAAACCCAGTCATTTAATTTCCCACATGATAGCTTGTAAATGAAAGCTTCAAATAACCCCCCCCCTTAGTTTGTTAGCATTTAAATACACTTTTTCAGTCAGATTTTAAGTAAAAATGTGTATTCTTCAGACAAAACTCTCTCCTTTTCTTCCCACTGTTAAAAATACAGCAGTCATTTCTACTAGGAGGCAAATTCACTGCATCCCTTGTCATCTGCAGAAACTGTGCCTGTGTTGTGATTTAAATAAAATATGTAGAAGTTCCTCTTGGAAGCACCCTGCTGGCATCTGTGCAAGCCCTGGCTGCACGTGGCCGTGGGTTACATCTGCTGTTCTGCAGAGCGTTGTCCTCCCTGCTTCTGACTTTGAGTATTACTGTTTTGAGCCTGAGACATTTATGACAATTGCAGACCTGATTCTGACCTTGACTCGTATGCATGTTTGTTTCTGGACAGGATGTTGATGTAGCAGGACTCTCCTACACCATTACTGGATTAAAGAAGTACACTGAGTATAGTTTCCGAGTGGTGGCTTACAATAAACACGGCCCTGGCGTCTCTACCCAAGATGTTGTTGTGCGGACGCTGTCAGATGGTAAGCTGCTTTATTCCAAGCCTTTCTGCAGGAATTACGTGGTAATTTCATTTAAGCGGATTTTTAACCAGAAAAACTTCTTAGGTTTTTGTTCAGCACTGCCCTGTTTTCTTAATAATGTGATTGCTGCATATGGCCACGCATGCTAAAAGCTCCCCCTGAGGCTGTCCAAATGGGGCGAAGGAAAATTAATATACCTGCAAATGCATCTGGTGTTCTAATTGCAAAACAATGCTGTCCTTAATTTCAACATCAGAAGTTTATTTCATGGGTTATTGGGCCTACAAAATCTTGAGAGTGGACAGAAACACAATTATTTTGAACCCTACAACTCCAAAATTGTCTTTTAGCTTCTGTAATATTTGTTACGTCTGAGCAGATACGTGCCTTTGGAGTGTTTTTATTTTAATTGTGGTCATCTGGAAAAACGTTGCACGTCTTTGTTTGGACTCCAAGCATGGATATTATTAAATCTTTTATGTATAGTCCTGGAAGCAGGAAGTGGTAACTGCATTTTCTGTAAGCCAAATAAGGAGGCCGTGTGAGGAAATACAGATATGTGAACAATTGTAGAATGATCAGACTTAATTGGCTTTTATTTTTTTTTTAGACAGAAGTTTAATTATTCATGAGAACAATCAGACCAAAACCAAGCCTACCCTGGAATCCTCTCTCCAGAACTGATCAAAAGCAGAATAGGGTATTAATGTCCCAAGTTGTGAGTGTGGTTTGTTTCTGTGGGACTCCTTGGCTCTGCAGTGGCTTCTGTGTAGTTATTCACTGTAGAATCATAGAATCCTTAAGTTGGAAAGAAACACTGAGATCATCTAGTCGAGCTGTCAGCCCATCCCCACCATGCCCACTGAACCATGTCCCTCAGTGCCACATCTCTGCAGTCCTTGAAAATGTCCAAGGACGGTGACTCCTGCACTTCCCTGGCAGCCTGTGCCAATACCTTACCACACTTGAAGAAGGAATTTGTCTTCCCTCCCGTGAAGCCTCTCAGCTTCCTTGTTAAGCCAGTGTCAACTCTTACCATCCGCAGCATTAAGTAGAGAATCCCTATGAAAGATCCCTCCCTTTCAGCCTGTTCTGGACCTGCTCTGTTAGCATTACCCATTGCCTAGAGCTGTGTGAAGCACTTCAGTCTGCATCAGCCTTCTCTGTCCCACACTTCCTTTCCTCATTCATTTCTTCTCCATATTTAAGTCCCAGAAATGGTCAACCCTGTCTTTTGTGGAAGCTGTTGCATGCTTCAGTGCTCTTTTCTGAACTTCTTTCTAGGTTTCTTTTCTCCTGTGTGCTTCTACAAATGGAGGTAGAGGTACCAGAACTGTATTGAAGATGCAAGGGTGTAATTACTAGCATTTGACTGCTATTTTTGACCCATTCTGAGCACTGAGGTGACATTTTTGGGGTAGGGATCTTGCTCCTTAGTGGAACTGCTATGCTTAGGGCCATCACTTTGTGGAGTTGGGATCATTTTTCCCACGTGTGTAACTGTAAGTTTCACGTCACTTCAATATCCAGGAACAAGCCTGAGGTTTTTCTGTAGTTCCTTACCAGCAGATCCTGCCTGTACTAATACTTCTCATGTTGCTGTTCATCCCACTTTCATCACTTACAGATGGGTTTAGAGATGCAGTGTTGGCATTGTACCGTGGAGGAGCTCCACTGGCCATCTTCCACCATGCCCATTCCTACCTTCTCTTTCCTCCCTTTCAGCCACTTCAGACAAGGGCTTCCCTCCTATCCCACTGTCACCTCACTGAAGAGCTCTCTACCAGCTTTGTGATGCAGGACTCCCCTTAAAAAAGTGACAGATGCCATATTTGTCCATGCATTTTTGAATTGCACACTTTATTAGAGTTTGAGTTGATTTGCCTCACGCAGATTTCTGGCTTATTACCTGACGTCTCCAGCATTCTCTCCAGCAGAACCTCCTTTACGTGCTGACATCACGGTTGCCATCTCCCAGCATCCAAGTTACAGCTTGTTGTAACTTATGTGATCATTTTATTCTTCTGCTTCCACACTGAACCTGTTGAAATGTAGTTTCTACAGCTTCCTAAAGGATGTCACCTTGCTTCTAGCAGCTGTACAGCCCTGCTGCTTGCCCGTGCTGTTCTCTCCTTTCACTCTCTCAAATCGTTCTAGATGAACAATTCTCATCTTTTTTACCATGCTCTCTGTATGCATCTCCTATAAATGTTCCATTCTTAGCAACCTTTTTTAGCAACCTTCCTCATGTTTATGTAGGTTCCTGCTCCTAACCTAAGTGTGTTATGATGGTTTGTTGCAGAGCGACCAGCTCTCTGGGTACAATTGAACTGGGGTTTATGTGCTGCTCGTAAGGTGTGCTTCTCTTCTCATGGTGCTCCTGGTCTGTAGGAACCAGCCTTTATCACAACTAGAAATAACACCTCTGCATTACACACTAATTGAGTTTAGGCTTACTTTGACAGAAGACGAACCGTGCACCTGTGAGATGCATGTATTTGTGTGTATTTATGTCATGTAGCCTTTCCTGTGTCCTACTGATTGTCTTTCTCTTGCCAAGTTTGCAGTACATGCATTAATCACACTTTGTGAATCCCAGGACTTTTTTTTTTTATTGTCTTGAAAGCAGGCAAAGGCTGAATAAAACAAGAACAGCAAAAACTGGCCTGGCTTTATTTCATTTCCTCCTCTTAGCCTGGTGTTCTTGCTTTTTAAAGGTATAACACCTCCTCCCTAGGTCTGCTGTTCTTGGGAAAAATGAACCCTTCTTGTCTGCATTTCTGCAGTGGGACGGGGATATTAAACCACCCCCTGCTGCTCCTTTCCCTTAACACTTACACTTTATGCACTCAGATTTCTTTTCTCTGGTATTGTTTGGACTGGCATGGGTTATCTGGAAAATGCATTGTTGTGGCTGGGACAGCCTCAAGCCCTGTTGTACTACTTCCCTGTTGTACTACTTCCCTGTCCTTGTGCTTTGCTGGAATCTTGGCTTCCTGTTAGGGAACACTTATCTATGTCTTTGAGATAACATTTGTGAGTCTTTCACTTCTGGAGAGCTGCAGCAAGGATCTCCTTGGTCTCAGTTTCTCTCTTATATAGCCTTTTTGCACAGTGACTTGAACTGTGCTGACCAGCAAGCTACTGCTACAGCCAGGAGAGAGCTAGCAAAGAATGGAGATGGAGAAGCAAAACCATCTTTGTGCTGCGCTTCACTTCCATGCTTCTCAGCAGCACATCTTGGCTCTGAGGTGTTCCTGTTACAGAAAGTCATGAGACAAAAAGCATGGCTAGAATTTTAAATGTGGATTCCCAGAATCAAGTATCCAAATGAAAGCCTTGGTTTGGAAAAGTGCTGAACGTGATCTCTCTTGTTAGAGTTGGTGGGAAGTATCTTTACTTATAAAGCTTTTTTATTTGGGTTCCTATGATAAGTAAAGACCTGAATAAAAAGTGTGTTTGTTCTCTGCAATGAAAATAAGTCATTCTCCCAAGCCAAACAGTCACTGTGTCCAAAAGTACACCTAGTCGAAATTCTGAATTATTTTATATAGTGCCTTAAACCAGAATGGATTGTAAATTTGCAATGAATGATAGCAGACAGTAGTTGTATATGGAAATAGGGTATGGGATATATTATATGGCATTTTTTCAGTTGTAATTCCTTTAATGTTTCTAGTTCCCAGTGCTGCACCACAGAATCTAACGCTGGAGGTGCGGAATTCCAAGGTAAGCTGGGGAGAACTTGCTGCTGGCAATGGGTAAAAGAAAGGCTGGGTGTCTGCTCAGCCAGAATGTAGAGCTTCTTTGGGCCTTTTCCCTGCCCTGCTGCTTTTCAGCTGTTTGTGTATGAGGGGCCCAGCAGGAGGCTATCTGAATGTGGGATGTGAAGCATTAGAAACTCCTGTCCAATTGTGGATTGTGCATAATGGGATGCAGCAGAGGCAGTGTCAATGAGGCAAAGCATGGAGGCTCAGTTGTGAAAGGGGTATAATTGGGCACAAAAGCCTGAAGCACCAGCACCTGAGTGTGTTCCTGTGATTAACTGTTATTTACGGTTTGTGCACACATATGCATGCTTACAATGTCCTGGGCCCCTTAGAAGAGAAAATTACATACTTATCCACTATGACTTTGGTGATTATGATTGAAGATTTGGAAAAAAACTCTTTTCTTTCTAAGCTCCTTTCCCAATACCATTGTTGCTACCTGTGTGATCAAAAACCAGCAGCTCCATGCACACAAACCACTGTTCAGGTTTCTTACACTCTTTGAAGAAAATCCTGGTTCCTAAGGATAGCTCCTAAGGAAACCATATCTTCCTGTAACTCAAAGAAAATGAAAGGGAAGCCCAAGAGGACTTCTGTGAAATTGGAATCAGAAGGTCCAACGGGGTTCGAAGCGCTTTGACTTGAACTTCCATAGGCACCTGTATGACCTGTGGTGCTGCTGAATTGTGATTGTTGTTTTGTCTTTGTACTTTTTATTGATAGCACGTCTCACATCCATGAAAACACCGTATATCTGTGTGCGTGTTTATCTGTCTTGTGTTTCATCAAGTATTAGCACTTGCATAGTTTTTCTGGCTGCACAGCAGACGACAAGTTTGTAATTTCACCTCCTGCCTCCCGCAGAGCATCATGCTGCACTGGCAGCCTCCTCCTGCAGGGACACACAGCGGCCAAATCACCGGCTACAAAATCCGCTACCGCAAAGTGTCCCGTAAGAGTGATGTGAGCGAGAGCGTCGGGGGGACACAGCTTTTCCAGCTAATTGAAGGTGAGGCATTATTTGCAAGCCTTTGACAGCCTGAGGCAGTCAGGCTGCCCGGAGAGGCTGTGGATGCCCCGTCCAGCCCTGGAGGTGTCCAAGGCCAGGTTGGATGGGGCCCTGGGCAGCCTGGTCTAGTGTTAAATGTGGAGGCTGGTGGCCCTGCATGTGGCAGGGGGGTTGGAGATTCATGATCCTTGAGGTCCCTTCCAACCCTGGCTGTTCTGTGATTCTGTGGTAGCCGAAGTCTAGCGGTTTGTTCTCTAGCCCTAATGCTGCCTTTGATTTTCTATGTGAACCAAATAAACTCTTTTCAAACCTTTCTATAAAGGTAGAGATTGCATGGAGTGGATGGTCCTGAGCTCACTGCGTGGCCTGAGTGGCAGAAATGAAAATATGAATAAAGATGCCAAAGAAATGCTCTCAGGCTGGATGTTCGCAAGTTCACCTGTTTGTTTGTGGACAGAATATAGGTGTGCTTTGGCTCTTGCAGTGCTCCCCAACAAGCCTGATTCAGAGTCATGGGAACTTCTTTCAGACATCTATACAAATCATATGTCAGCCTTTGTCCTTCTTTCTGGCAATGACATAATAATTTATCCCCTCTTTATTTTTGTACGTTTCAGAAATTCCACCTACTACAGTACTTAGCATAAATGATAAATTATTACTAGAACAACAATTTGGTGTAGTGGTAACAGGGCATCAGGAGAGGAGCAAGCCTATGTTTTGGTTATGAACAGCTGATCAAGCTGTGCCTCTTACAAAGCAATTAGGCAGCTCAAAAAGTGCTTTGTGCTGTATTCTTAGAAGCTCCACCTGTGACTCAGTAATGTTTGTTCCTCCTAGAGTCAGAGCTGATTGGTGCCTGTTAGCAGAGTGCATTTTTAGCAGCAACAAGGGCCTGTTTAAGACAAATTTGAGTGCATTTTCTTATTGTTTTGATTATTGAGTATGCACTGTTATATACTGCAAACAAACTCATGGTACGTTTTGGTCAATTGCTGTCTGTACATCTGTGCTTAGTTATGGGTGTGGGTGGTTCTCCTCTATTAGCAGCCAGAAATTAAAGCTTGCTTTAGATGGAACTGTGCACTGCCTGCCTGTGACCTATGGGGACAATCTGTGGAGTGTCCCAGCTCTGGTGCCTATTCTTATGGTTTAGCTCTGCACTGTAAGCAGTGTCAGCTTCCTTACTGGAGTTGGCAGCGATGTTTCCATCCTGACCTCAGGCTGTGCTTGAGTGGCACTGTTGGGGTGAAAAGTTTTCTAACTACCAGATTATACCTCTACTTTAATTGTGATCCCTGTGCTCGTGGTTGGGATTGCTGTTGTGACACCTGGGCTGCTCTTTATCTCCTAGGTCTTGAGCGAGGCACGGAGTACAACTTCCGGATAGCTGCCATGACTGTGAATGGCACTGGGCCAGCTACTGACTGGGTGTCAGCAGAAACATTTGAGAGCGATCTAGATGGTAAGATATTAAGTGTGGAGATATTTGTGACACCAAAGCCAGGGCACGGTAGAGTTTGGCTGCTTTTTTAAAAGGAAAAGGTGCTTTTATTGAATTGTTTTAATGTTTCCTAATGTTGCGACATGCCTTATTTATGATTAAGTGCTATTAATTTCTTTTTCTATCATGAAATTCTTACCAAGTCAATAAAACAGCTTATGCACAAATTCTGCTTCTACACTTTTGAGAACTGTATGTTTTTGCTATCAAGAAAAACCCAATTTTGAATGTCAGTGCCAGTGGTTTGATATTTAAATAATAATACAAGATAAGATTTATCTAATAATAATGCCTTGAATTTTATATTGTAATAAAACTCATCTCGTTAATCATGAAGATGTTCACACGCTACGAGGTTGGAGGTAGGAGGACTGTTTTCCTTGAGGGAAGCAAAATAGTGATTATGCATTTCTAGAGCACCTAAATTATGCTAATGAAACCATCGGCGCACGCCTCAGAGTTCTGAAGGTGGTGATTTGGTATTCAGCAATGCAGTGGCTGACTCGTGGGCCTGCTGACTGCAGCACAGAGCCTGCACGGTGTCTGCACGAGGGCTGCAGAGCTGGGGTCCAAATGTAAACTTTGTTAAACACAAGAGAGATGCCACGGTAGGAGAGGAATGATGGAAAGCATTGCTTTTACCTCTAGGGCTTTGCAGCATTATCACTGTGTTTTATTGGTTCTGCTTTGTTGAAATATTTTTCCTCTCTTTCTGATTTCCTTATAGTTTCGAAAGAGGGCATTTGATCCCCTTTAACTGTTACTTGTACCATTATAGCTGTGGATGTCCCTGTTCATTGCAGGGGAGTTGCACCAGATGGCCTTTTGAGGTCCCTTCCAACTCTAAAGAGTCTATGATTGTGAAAAAAAAAAAGAAGATTGATTGTATTTTCAGTGCTGGTCAACTAGTATAGACCTGATCTTCCATCAGAAATGAAGACTTCTGTCTCAAAGCCATAGATTCGTGATATGTGGTGAACAGAACCATGCAGGGGTTACAGTAAAAGTAGAACAAGTTCTGTGAAAAATGTTGACCTCTGTTGGTTGGCCCAGGGTATTTAACAGCACAAGAGTAAATGGCAAGCAGGAGCCTGATTGTCACAGAATTCAAATGAATAAATCTGTGAGCATCTTCTAGAAGTTGGCTACGAGCAATTGAAATCGCAGCAGAGAAGTGCTGTTTTTAAAGAAAGCAGCAGATCTCTAAGGAAACACCTACATGTTCCTGGTGATGCTGGGTAGCCCGTTCCCATTCTGAACAAGCATTTGATTGGTTTTGTTGAACAAAAGTTACCTTCTGCTTCTTGCAGGTCAATCTCCCTCTTTCAGGGTTAGGAAGGAGCTTGAGGTCATTCTATCTGAATTAATGGTGCAAAATGCCAGTAATGTCTGTCACCTCTGTGTGACTGGAGATTCAGTTGTGGCAGCAGCTGGAAGACGGAATTGTAAAAGAAATCCAATGTTTGTTCTGTGCTGTTGGAAGATTGCTTCAGCAGACTGCTGGTCTGCCCCTTGGAGAGCCCATCTTTCAATCTTTGTGTTGGTGTAGGGATCCTGCTTTGGCAGGGGGGTTGGACTCAATGATCTCTGGAGGTCCCTTCCAACCCCTACAATTCTGTGATTCTGTGATTCTGTGTTATGCAAAGTTGATGCTCATCTCAATATTTGTCCTCTTTTTTTCTCTCTCTGTTGCTTAATCAGGAGCAGCAGAAAAACCAATGCTAACTGTAGAATTTGGTTTTGTAGCTATTTAGAATTGGCTTCTTAGAGATGAAATGACTTGTGTATGTGGCTGTCATCCTTTAACTGGATGTGACACAGCCTTGCAGCTCGAGAAACCACTTGTTCCCCAGACTGAAGGAGAAGTGGATGTTTTGCTTTCCTTTCTCTAACAAGCTCATGTGGGTATATTTAATAACACAGAGCATATTTACAGCTCATGTTTAATTTCTCAGGTTCAATATATGTGCATACATTTCATTCCTCTCCACTCTGTCTGCTTTTGAAATTAAGTGGAGTATAATGAACTTCATAGTGCCATCAGTGCCAACAGGAGCAGCCCATTACAGGTCTGTGCTGGTGGGGCCGTGTCGTTCTGCAGGGCTGGCGCAGGTCCCACCAGGAGCACAAACACAGAGACTGTTAAAGATTTGTATAAAGTTTGTCCCCGGTGCAGTGGCTTCTGTGCAGCTAAAAACAGCATCTCTTCTGTTGCAATTCTGTAGCTTTTCTGTATTTAAGAGTGGTGAACTTTAATTGATCAGCTGTGTCAGCTGGAGACCATAAACTCCCTTGGCAAGCAGGCCAGTGGCATATTATGATCCAAGTAATACTGCTGTGGTGTTTTATTAAATGCCTGTAGATAAATGCTGCATGTTTCATTAAAAGGAAATCTCTGCAGGAAGCAGAATGCTCTGAACAGTTTATTTTAGAGCGGGGAACTCAACTTACTGACGCACAACATACAAACTGTCTGTTAGCATGCAGTGGGCTCCAGCAGCCTGACAGAAGCAGTTACCCCATTTCTGAGAAGCTAAGAGCAAGGCATGGATGTCAGTGTGTGCAGCTGTGCTTTTGCTTTGCTTTTGCCTCTGTTCAACACTGGGGCAAAGTTCTCTACTAAGAATACTGGGGGACCACAGTCACATCTCACGAACATCAGTCCTTCTGTTTTTAAGGGCCCCGATTCCACCTCCCTGTTGGATTGCAATTAGATCTGTGTTGCTCACAGGGGTTGAGTTCAAGCATCTGTTGTTTCATTCTTATGGGATGAATGTGAGGTCCCTGCGTATATTTTGTGAGTTATGTAGAAGAGACTTCAGGACCCACGGAGTGACAAGGATAGTGGTGGTACAGGACAAACTACAGAAGACCTTTGCCAGAAATGCTGCATGCAGTTTAGTGACGATGGTTTGAGCTTTGGAATGTTCTGTTTAGTCCTACAGTGAGCTCAGGCACCTTCCTTTGGTTGTGACTGTGTTCTCGAGATAATTATTTAGTGCCCACAATAAGTAATATGATGGAGCTAAAAGCAGATTGCTTTGTGGACAGGATGAGATAAACTCAATGCATATTTTTGAAAAATTAAAATTGGGAATGCAGAAACATCAGAAAAGTCTGCCTGGAAGCAGATCTTATGCTTTTCTTCAATATGACAATCAGATGCTTTTAAAAGGGTGTCTGTTAAAATGTATTAGTTGTTAATTTTCATCTGCTTATTAGAGAGCTCTTCGCTCTCTCTTGTACAATAAAGCTCTCTCCTTTGGAGCATACCCATTTAATACATTCACAGAGTACAAGTGCTGTATTTGACCTTATTAGCTTATGGTTCTTCATGTAATCACCTTTATTGAGGAGAAATCCTTTAAATCCATCGTTTTTCTTCAACAGAAAGCCGTGTTCCTGAAGTTCCGAGCTCCTTACACGTCCGTCCTCTGGTCACCAGTATTGTGGTAAGCTGGACTCCACCTGAGAACCAGAACATTGTGGTGAGAGGTTATGCCATAGGGTATGGCATCGGCAGTCCTCACGCACAGACCATCAAGGTGGACTATAAACAGAGATACTACACCATTGAAAACTTAGGTAAGGAAAGCAGATTTACATCAGCACCCAGATTTCACCTCCAGCGCTCGTTGCTGTTTTTTAATCATGAGATGAAGATATAAAACTGCAAGCGTGTCTTCTAAGAGGATCTTTATCATTATGAAGGCAATAAGTTGGAAAACCAAGCAGTTGATAAATTTGAAATGAACTCAGTTCTCTGTTGATGGAGGAAGTGGCAGAGCAAAAAAAAAAAACCCAGAATCCTGATCTTGCTGAGCTGGAAGCAAAGTGTGTTGCCTTTCTCAATGACAAACATGAACTTTGACACAGAGCTGCTTTTCCTTGTTTTCTTCTGGAGCTGTGAACAGGTGGCTTCAAGCAAAAAAAGAAACTAACATGTCACCAGGATATGGTGGCATCTGCTTTGAAAGAGAAACACAGGGTAACCCTGCCACAGAATTCTCTGTGCTAGGCGAGACAGCCTGAAAGCAAAATAAATATTAGGATTGGGAAGTTCCCTAAAATTAGGGCATTGGATAATGCTGCAGTAGAGCAACCTAAAATGTTCATTTTATAAGGGTTTTTTTTGTTATCTTGACTGTACCTAGGGTAGAAGTGCTCTGACTACAGACATCTGCTAAGGGAGAGCTACTGCACAGTAAAAGAAGGTCTGTGTGGAGACTTTCTCAGTTCAAACTTCTCATTTTTTAACAAAAACACACGAAATAAAAAGTTGAACAAAGCAGAGAAAGCATAGAGGCAAAAAAGAGGATGCACTAAGAGTCTGTACTAAAACCATACTATTTTTTTTTTCTTAAGACCCGAGCTCACACTACGTCATAACTCTGAAAGCATTCAACAATGTTGGTGAAGGAATTCCTCTCTATGAGAGTGCAGTGACCAGGCCTCATTCAGGTAAGGGCCAGGGGCTGCCTTTGTGTTCTGCACTGCTGAGAGCTGCCAGCATGCCTCCTGCACAGCAGCTGAAAATACCATTATTTCTAATGCAGGAGCTTTAGTTTTTGGTGTCATCAAATACTCTCCATTTCTATAACTGATTGGCCTTGCTGTTTCAGTGATTGCCCTGCATGGTTCTTCTGCTCATTAAACCAACTAAAAATGTATTCATTTTTCGGTTACAAAATGTATCTTTGAACAGCTTACAGATGTTTTTATTTGAAAAGTTAACCATTAAGTTAGCACAAATGGGTTTTGCTCTTATTTTGTTCTTGGGGACAAGTAGAGATTTTTAGCGTGTGTCTTTACCTTGAGATTTTGAATGTGATGCATGCATTTCCTTTGTCTGAGTCTCAGTTTGCCATAACTTAGATTAAACAAGTTCTTGGCTTAGTTGTTTTTCATCTTGTAACACATTAATACAAAGATAAATTTGTTTGCAAGTGAGCTTCTCCTGTGTGGCTTGCTGTGCTCCCTGCTAGACTGCTGGCATTATTTAGTCCTTCGGGACAGATGTTAACACTTCTGTTTGTTTTAATTTGCTGAAAAGCAATAATTCTGATAGATTTTATAGAGGGCATTGGAATTGCAGTTTCTTCACTTATTGCAGATTTGCATGGCACATAGAACGTGCCTGCCATGAACATTCTTTAAAAGCTGATGGGAGTAACTCTTACGGGGTGGCATTTACCCACCAGAAGTAGTCCAGCTCTTCTTCCTCCATGTTATTTTCTGCAAGTGGAGAGGCAAATAAATTCAAAATTAGAAATACTGCATGCTTGGGGTTCTTAGTGCTGTGATTGAATGTGTTCAGCGCTAATGATTGGGTGGCAAACTTTATAGCATAGATATGTCATCACTGTCTTGAGGGAACACGATGCAACAGTTATTGTAATACCAGCCTTATGTCACCTATTAACTCTGGCTTTTCTCTCTTTTTCTCCATTCCTCACCTCTCATTTCATTATATTACCCCGCATTTCCCCATTTTTTTTTTGTTTTTGTTTACATTATAATGCCACCTTCTCCCTTTTTAATTATAATACACAACTTTTTACCCATCAATTCCCTAGACACTTCCGAAGTTGATTTGTTTGTTATTAATGCTCCATACACTCCAGTGCCAGATCCATCTCCCATGATGCCACCGGTGGGAGTTCAGGCTTCCATTCTGAGCCATGACACCATACGGATCACTTGGGCAGACAACTCTCTGCCAAAGAACCAGAAGATCACGGATGCTCGCTACTACACAGTTCGCTGGAAAACCAATATTCCTGCAAATACAAAGTACAAGGTACCGGCGTTTCAGCAGCACTAACAGGGCTGGGACATTGCAATGAGAAGTTTCGTGTTCTACTTAGGGCTGAGCTAAAGCTGAGAGTAGTGCTTAGTGTAGGTGTGAACCTGGTTTTATCTGTGAGGAATGTGCTCACAGCAGTGGTGCTCTGTTAAATCAACAGAGGTGTTCCTGGGGTTGGTGGAAGTCGGCGTGTTTGTGGTAGGGTGTTGGGTATGAGTGAGTGCAAGAGTGGAGTCAGGGAAGGAAGGAAAGAAAAGGAAGGAAGGAAGGAAGGCACTTCCAGAACGACTTTCTGCTGTGGAGCTGCAGACATGGTGACCATTTCCTCCTTTCTGCCTTGCTTTGACTCGATGGCTTTGTTCGGCTTACTTGTAGAGGAGCCAATAACACATCAATGAGGTACGTGCTGCTGATGGCTTTTCTCCAGTTAGCAGAGGAGGCTGGCTGTGTGTGGTGACTCATTGACTCATGCACCCCCTCCGACTGGCAAATGTTTACTCTTACAGTTTTAAGTCTTTTTTTTTTTTTTACATTTCTGTTCATGCCACGCTGTTAGTGAAACGTCCCTCTGGGAACAGAGTGGGTGCAAAATACCTACGAATAACGATATCATGTTGCTGCCTGCCTTGATTTGGAGAGTAGATTTGGGATTGGGTGTTTTGGTTTGGGTCATCTTAGTCGGTTGGTTGCCTTTTTTAATTTCCAGAGCTATTTGGAGGCCTCAAAAAGTGCTGACTGCAAGTTTCACACTGGAAATGAGACTCAGAGGAAAGGGTTGTTAAAATCTCCAGCGTGTGGAGATCCCTTTATGCTCTTAGAGAGCAATCTTGTTACAAACCAGATATTTTTTTTGATTGAAATGAGAAGATGTATGTATGTGTGTTCCTGCTCTAAAGGCGAGTTATTTATGAGCCCGCATTCCCAAGGCATGTGCAGAGGATGTCTCAGGAGTGATTTATACAATGCTGCAGTTTCATTAGTTAAGAGCTGGTAAATGCAGTACTCCCTCTGTTCCCAGTGATGGCAGCCGGGGGCCGAGAAGTTTTACTCTGACCCAAAATAAATACCTAACGATGGAATATAGTTCAGAATTCCTCATCTTAAAAAGCGTTGGCCTCAAAGGGCAGAAGTATGGCAGCCTTTGCCCTACATGGTTGTTCCTGCAGCACGATGTCTGCAGAACTCACTTCTGCCTTTTCCTTTTGTTTCAAAGGCACCATCTGTGCTGCTCGGTTGAGCAATAACAAGTGGTAACATTGAGGCAGGCAGAACCCATGTCGTGCTGTGTTTCAGTCAGCAATTTGGTAACTGTCTTAAGGCAGGGCAAGCCTGTAGCTGCTCCTGGCTGCCCCTGGCAACTTTGCTGTGGGTTGCATGCTTTGAGGCCCTTTGCTTGGCTGTATCAGCCTTGTGCACAGATCTCTTCAGGACGTTCTCAAGTAGCCACAGCTCTGTCTCTCCCACTTGGCATTTTCATCTCCCACTCAGTAATTTGCACGTTGATGGAGTGCATTCAGAGCTGTGTATGTTTGCTCCTACCCTCTGTGCTCACATCCCCCAGGTATTTCCCAAGGAGGCTGCAGCTTGCACCAAGCACACGTTCATACCTCCACCAGCCGTGCTGCCTGCAGTCTGTGCAGGAGTTGTGTCAGTGTGGGGCACATCAGCACGGAAGCAGAAGCTGAAAGACTCCTCTGTGCTTTGAGCCACGTAGCTGCACTAATGTGGATCAGAGCGTTTTGCAAAGAGCCTTGGTGGTGCAGCAGGGCTGTCCTACCTGTGATTTATATCGCTAAAATGTGAAATCGTAAGTGTGGATCTTAGAGGAGTGTATGAAAGAAAATCTATTTCACAGAGCAGTATTGATGATATTTATTTCTAGCAGGTGAGCAGGGTTTAGTACTGGGGTTATACTGTGATCTTAAGAACAGAATGGAAAGTTGAGATGGTGTTAGGGATCTCTGCAGACCCCAGAGAGGAGGAAGCAGTGTGCTTCACAGGGGTGCTTTGCAGGCTCATCAAACCAGCCTTGAGGAGAAAATTTCTCTTTAGGACATGTCACTACTTCGCTTTTCCAGGCCAAAGGTTTTTGTAGCTTCCACTGAAGCATCCCTTATTTCCCCATGGCCCTGCACTGTGCTGCAAAGAGCCGGGGGGGCTGCTGGGCAGCTGGGGAAGAGCTGCTCCGACCACGTGGCTCCTGCTTGCACAGGGAGGCTTTGTCACTAGCAAATACAACTGTCCTGCTCTTCGCTTAAGCATTCAAACCATTCAGCCGTAATCACTTCTGCTTTGAAATGACACTGAATTTTGTAAAAGTAAAGGTTTAAAGATAATGGAGGATTTGGTTTGGAGTAGTTTTATGATATTTTTACGGTCTGTCAACCCCTGTGATGTCTTAACTGGCAAAATGCACCCCTGTGACCAGGCAGAGTGCTCGGCACACGTTCAGGTACCGCCCGGCTGACAGCCTTCTGAGCTTCCGCGTGGTGTAACGAAAAAGCTGTCATGGTGCACTTGAGAAATAAGGGTTTTCTCTGCCAAGTTTGGGCTGTATTATTCTACGAGACTTCCAGGAATGTGCATTTATAGGTGGTCTTTTCCTCGATAAAAAGAATTATCCGAAAACAGTTTCTGAAAGCAGTCATTGTATGACCCTGTCAAACTTTGGAACAACTGTTATTCTACGTTTAGATTACTGGAGGTCAAGGTAAGGAATGCAGATAGATGCAGAACTCTTTTTTTCATAGGTCCCAAGTACATTCTGTCTGTGTTCAAGTCCTGTGTAACACCTGTCGGGCAGCTTAACGTAAAGGTTGAGAATTTACTCCTTTAATGGCAGTTACAAATCACACTGAGCTGTATGCAGCTTTCAGTGTTTGATCCCAAACAACAGTTCTTTCTGGAAAAAAAACCCTAAAGCTTCATTGTCTTCACATCTTTCAGCACCTGTGCCTCCAGTTGATGTATATATTTCTAATGTGTGTTAAAAATGTAATGAAAATGTTGACAGGATTTAGTGAGGAAGATGCAGGCTTTAGGAAGGGCCTCTATTGTTGGCTGTGCTTCATTGTTTTCCCTAGCTCCATCAGTTAATGAAATGCTGTAAATTATCGCCCCCCAGCAGTCAGTGGTTCAGCCTGCTGCATAACAAGTGTGCCCAGGACCTCGTATTGCTTTGCATTTCTTATATATTTTTTTTAATTTAGAATTGGCTGCTGTTACACGCTCTTGCTGATTGCAGAAGGAATTTCTAGTTGAGGCTGAAACAACAGCAGATTAACAGTTGATTAATGAATTGCATGATAGAGCAGAAATGTTAGCGAATTAATGACGATGGCTCTGAAATGCAGCAGTGCTGAGGTGCTTTAAACACGTACCTGAGAGAGGGCTGCCCGAGGCTGGTGGTGGATGGCTCTCAGTTCAGGAGTTACTGATTACTGATGCTTTGTTTTTCTTCCAGACGGCCAACGCGACCACTCTGAGCTACTTAGTGACTGGGTTAAAACCAAACACCTTGTATGAATTCTCCGTGATGGTGACTAAGGGGCGAAGATCCAGCACGTGGAGTATGACAGCACATGGGACAACTTTTGAACTAGGTACTCATCTGTGTGTGTTGGGAAGGGCTGGCGTTCCTGATGAGATGCACCAAGTCTTGTCTGCCACAATCCTGCTGGAGGAGCAGCGTGCCTTTAGGATGATTATGCTGATGAATACTTGCTGGGATTTGGTCAGAAATTCTGATTAAAAAAACAGCATACTCCAGAATTCAAAGGGATGATTGCGTGCAAAAAAATTTACATCAAATTACAGCGAGGTAATGAATAATGCACCACAGTTCACAGACAAGAGAGTGAAGCAGCATACGTTTGGAACATCTCACAAACACGATGCTAACAGCAAATACAAAGAAAACGATTTAACAAATAATAATTAAAATTTGGTGTACGTACGATGATAACCATTACAGTGAAGAAGTGCACGAGGCAAATGAATCAAAAACCAGAAATTCAGACGTCCAAATGAGGCCTAGAGCCTTTTTTCTCTACCAATGCTTTGTACTTCCCCCGCTGTGACAGTGATGCTCTGGCAGTGCAGCTGCAGGGCCCTGCCCCTCGTTAGCCCCTGCCATCCCACGGGGTGAAATGGCCTTTGTGCTGTTAAACCCACTGCTTGCTGTGCTGCTGGGTCTGTGCATTTGAACTGTAAGGACAAGAAAGAGCATATTCAAATTACCCTGCAGTTCTCCTACCTGATTAAAATCTAGCAAAAAAATCAAGCATGTGAAGAATTGGTCAGGTCATCCAGTGCTCTGAAACAAGAATGCACTCCCTAGAAATAGGAAAGCTTGGAGCCATGGAGCCAGCATGGAGGCTTGCTTCCCCCCCAGTTACTTTGCATTACGGTGCTGTACCTGTACTTGTGCAGGCAACACACTCAGCTCTCATCTAAAGCCCTTTGCTAAGAGCAGCAACAGGAAATATTGCACACAAAAAGATCTTAAAAGGCATTTGAAACTCAGAAAGTGCAAGAGTAGAGGAGAGATACAGTAATACAGTTTCATTTTTTCTGTTGAAATAAAAAGTCCATTTCTAGTTGGGGCTGTTGTAAAGAGTATCTGCAGACATGACCTAAAAGCTTGGGAACTGGAAGGAAAGGAGAAAAAAAAAAAGAAAAAAGAAAAAGGCTAAGTATGTTTTCTCATTACAGATCTTGTGATTTATATTACTTGCCAAATTCCTGAGTGTGTGACTCATTATTTTTGAATACTCACGACTCGCAGTGCTGTATAGGGCTCTCACCCTGACTGATGCTGAAGAGAGGTCTGGGGTAACTGCTGTCAGAGTTGGTGTGTGCTGTATGGATCTCTGGAGGGCTGGTGCTGTAGCCCTGCTTTGTGTGTGTGTTGCAGCTCGCTGCAGGGCCTCAGCTCGTGCTTTACATCCTTTCTGAGGCGTGTGCTTTTAAGTCCTTAGGACAATAATTACAGGAATTTTTGAGTTTTGCTTTTACCAGCCCTGGTTTCCAACTATTCTTCTGCATGGAGCTAACAGGCAGCCAGCTCAGAGGATGTGCGGATTAATTTCTAATAGGTACTACACATAAAGCTCTTCCAATGTGAAAAACACTGCGTAAGCACTAAATGTTCCTATGCTGGTATTAAATATCCGAGGCAGATCTACTTTGCTAAAAGTAACCTAATTAAAAGTCTCATGTTTTTTTATAGCATGGCGTTCCAAATGTAGCTGGTTAATGCACCTTTGGAGGCCGGCTCCATGCATTTGAAAGCCATTAATCCAAGCCCCAGCTGGATGTTTGAGTTCCCAGCAAGAAAGGGCTCAGGTTTCAGTCTTGCACTGCAGTGGTTTGTGCCATTTCCTGAGTTTCCAGCAGGAGGGGGCTGGTGGGAGCAGAAAGTTCCTCCTCTCCTCTGCTCTTTCTCTGCTTTGCTCTCTGGAAACACAGGGGGAAAGGTTGGATGATTATTCTCCAAATATTTCTGGATTGCAGATGCTTCTGTGGTGCACATTTCCTTGCAAATCACAAGCCTTCAGTACAGTAAGGTGGGACTTGCAGGTGGTGATTCTAAACCACTGGTGGATTTGCTTTACTGATTCAGATTTGATGTTACCAGGTGTTGGTCTCACCATAAGCCTGAAAATGTAGAGATATTTCTTATCTCTGCATAGACATGTATTTATTCCACAAGCTGATGTAATTTTCCTGATGTCTGAACAAACTCCTGTTAGAAGTCACAGATCCCAGCTGCTGCAGTTCTGCAGAGACAGCGTTATGTTGAAGACACCTGTGCTCATTGGGTCATGAATCACAGCACCTGTCAATAGAAAGGCTTTAGGAACAGGAGACCTCCCATGGAAAGGCAGTGCTGTGCTCCAGCTGACATTTGCCACTGCACCAGAATGGCAGATTGGTTTGAAGAGGTTTTATTACTGTGTGTGCCTTTCTCCAGTAAAAAAGGAAGGTGCTGAGGTTCCTTCCATCCAGTGAAATGGGGCATGCTGTTTCTGATGGCTCGTTTTCTGTTTGTTTGCAGTTCCTACTTCACCTCCCAAGGATGTGACTGTGGTGAGCAAAGAGGGAAAACCTCGGACCATCATTGTGAACTGGCAGCCTCCGTCCGAAGCCAACGGCAAAATTACAGGTGCAGTTTGCATGAGCTATAAAGGCAGATAGAGGATAGCTTGTTAACAGCAGAATGTAATCTACATAACTATGTGAACATGTTCCATACTTCATTTAGCCCGGAGCTATCCAGGAGCTCAATATCATCTTTGCCAATCTCTTCAGTGGCTCAGATTAATTATTTACTTTTGTACCTAGTGAAAATATATTAAGATATAAACTGTAACTGCAGTGTGCAATGGGAGTTGAACCAGAAATATAACTGAAAGTTTAAATGTCTCAATAACCTTTGCCTTCATCAGCCTGCACTGTTCTAACCACGTGCCTCCAGAAATTCATCTGTAATGCACCCGGCCTGTCAGGATCTTATTTAGAAGGCTCTGTCCCAGCCTTCTCTTTATCATCTTTCTGCCAGTGCTGTGGTACAGAACAGACTCGGAGCCTGTTTATTACTCCCCTGACATAATCATTAGGAGTAAACTGTTATTTGACTTGGTAACTGCATCACTTTCATGTCGGATAAATCATTTATGGAGAACAATAATTACTGTTACCTTTCAGGAAGCGTTCTGTTTGGATTCCATTTCTGAGGGCTTTCTGAAATAATTCACTTCAATTTTCTGTCTTTTTCCCCCCTGCTTAAAGCAGATTTTATTGGCATATAGTTAGCGGTGTGTGATTTTGCTTTTGTTACCAGAATTCAGTGCAGAACCAAACCTTTGAAACCTGTCAGCAAGGGAAGAGTCTGATCACACGCTGCTGTAGCCCACGTTCTAGACAGGAGACACAATGAATCTGATTCCTCTGAAAGGCAGGATGGTGGAGACACTACACTCAGTACGAGCAGTAAAATCATGAGCATTGTTGTAAGACAGCATCATTAAGTATTTAATTACAATAATTTAAGTATTCTGGAACGAAAGACCCCAGGAGAGCAAAGTGGCTCTGAGCATGCAGCACAGAGGCTGCAGGTAAGAGCTGTAACAACTTGAGCAGAGCAGCCCTTGCTCTGTGTGCCGTGCCTGAGCCATTGCTGTCTGTGCACGCTGGCAGCTGTTCAGATTTTCTCTCTTCTCCGTATAAAGCCAATTCTGGGTTGCTTTATTATCAGTAAGGTGTTTCCTTTGTATGGGAAGGAGGATTTGAGCGGAGCAACAAGGGCCTTAATCTTAACTGCAGGTTAAAGGACATGCTCACTAGCAGCCAGTGAGGTCATTGAGGCAGGTGTGAAACATAAGGCTCAAAGAACCCTTGGTTATATCTGTATGCTCTTAAAAAGATAAGCCTGTCCCCTTACATCCTGTGTGTACGTGGAGAAGGGAAGGCAACGTACAAAGAGATCAGCATTTCCTTACACAGTGTGATTAGTGAGATGATCTCACACATCTTCCTAGTAAGAAAATGTCTGTACTGTGAAGCAGAACCTGGCAGTTATTCCTATGTATTTCCATTCAATATGTAGCATATCTTAGAGCTCAATGTTTTCTAAAACATTGCACGTACGTAGGTAAGTGGCGAGCCCACCAAAGATTAGATTCAGATTGCCAAGGGTGGGATTTTGGGGACGTGGGAGCTGAGTGCCCTCTGCTGGAGAGAGCACTGCCAGTGAGAGGAACAGAGACTTGAGTAATCAATTATTCGTTAACCCAACTGAGTTGGTTCTGAGCACTGAGACCAGAAGTGCTGTGCAGCGATGGACTTCCATGTGCTCCATAGCACTTCTGTGGGTACTTGTCTTTTCAACGCTTGTCTTTGTTTGATGAGGATGGGATGGATGGAAAATACTGAAATATGCTAGTCTGGATTCCAGATGCTCTTACATCATTATAATTGCCGACTAATTAGTACAGTCATGAGTAAACTCAGTCTTGTGCCACTATGCTATAAATAATGCTTTCAGCTGTCACCGTGTGTGTGTGTCGTCCCTTTGGAGACAAGTTGCAGATTTGTTCCTTTGTGTCCACTACAAGTAGCAAGTTATTAAATCTACCCCCAGTGGTTGACTGTCCTGCCAAGGGAAGAAATTAAGCATGCCAGACCTACAGCTGGTGTTTCAGGCATCACCCATGCCATACTGATTGCTGGGACGTACATGAATTTGGGCTATCAGCAAGGCTTCCCTTTGCTTCCTTGAACTAGAAGGTGCTACACAGAGCCTGACTTCCCTTTCCTTCTGTAACCCCCATGGACAGAAGGTCTGTGGCACAGGGGAAGCAGCAATTTATCATAGAATCATATAGAATGGCCTGGGTTGAAAAGGACCACAATGCTCATCTAGTTCCAAATCCCTGCCATGTGCAGGGTTGCCAACCAGCAGACCAGGCTGCCCAGAGCCACATCCAGCCTGGCCTTGAATGGCTGCAGGAATGGGGATGGGGCATCCACAACCTCCTTGTGCAATTTGTGCATGAGGCTTCTGAGCTAGCCCTGTACTTTTGCAAGTCAGTGCCAAGGGCTCTGTATGGCAGAACTTGCCAAGCTTTTACTTCGCAGTGGTTTGTATTTGCAGTATAATAACACATCACTCACTCACACCATACTTTTTTCTTGAGGACCTGCAAGATAGCTTCAGTTCTCTTCAGATTGTTTTCTTTGTTAAGAAACTGAAAAGTAATGCTAATCGCATTAGTTGTGTCTAATACCAGCTCATAAACACACTTTCTTGAGCTGTGCATGGGAATGTTTTGATGTTTCAAGGTTAGTGATTTTCTCTAGATACTAATACTTGGAGGATGAATCTAGAAGAGTAGCTTTATGTTATTTTACATTATTTAGTCCATGAACAGACAGAGATGGAAATGAGGAATTCATCCATACTTTATGAGCAGTGGTCAAAAATAACATTGATATTCTAAGTGGATTTTTTCCTCTCAACATACTTCTGAACAGCTTAACATTTAAGATGGGAAGGCTGTCTGATACATGAATGCATCCCCAGTCTTTGAAAATGTAAGAACACACTTTCAAAAACCCATAATCGTTTGGTTGTGCAAATATCATTAATAGTCAATAGAACTCCTGCTGTTAGATCTTACGACTATCGCGTTCTTTTTTGTGTGAAATCCTTTTGTTTCCTTCTTTTGAATAGGATACATCATTTACTACAGTACAGACGTGAATGCTGAGATACACGACTGGGTTATTGAGCCCGTTGTGGGGAACAGGCTGACCCACCAGATACAAGAGCTGACCCTCGACACCCCGTATTACTTCAAAATTCAGGCCCGCAACTCGAAGGGCATGGGGCCCATGTCTGAGGCTGTCCAATTCAGGACCCCTAAAGGTAAGTATCACCTGCATCCAAATAGCTTCTCATTTTCTGAGTGCCACACCTCAGAGGGTAGGACACCAAGCAGCACCAATTTTATATTTAAGCTGGAAAAAACAGGAAGATGATGAAGTTTGATTAGAATAGAATTTTCTCTCTGATTGCTCTTGCATGTAGTTAACACATATGCAAATTTTGCTCAACTATTTGCTTATTTGTGTTATTCCCAGTGAGCAGCTGGCCCTTAGGGCATCTAATTATTAGTGCTGAGGGCCCACATCCCACATGTGCATTTTAAAAAACAAGTTTGTAGTTGCTTTCAGGCTTGAGGTCCTGTGTGTCACATGCTTGTGATGCAGCAGTCCAAAGCAGCTGGAGCTGGGGAACACCAACCAGCTCATGGGAGTGTGATGGAGCTGCAGTGACACAGCAGGCTTTCTAATCGAGGAGTGCTTGTTAGCTGGTGAGCTGGCATAAACATCTCATATCCTGAGGGGGAAAAAAAAGCAAGAAGAGGTGAAAGCTAGAAATTGTAACAGTGCTTTCTCCATGTATCTGTGGTTAAAAATTTAGAGTTTAATGCCAACAAGTCCATTTATGCTGTGTGAAAGTTGAAATTCCATCTCTCGCTGCTTCAAGCCTTGTGATGTTTTCTTGTTTTTTCCTTCCCTGTGCTTTTCCCACTAGCTGAATCCTCAGATAAAATGCCTAATGATCAAGGTAAATGAACAGCTGTGCTTTCTCTCTTACTCCATCCTTTCCACATGTTGTTTTCCTTTCCATGTGCTGTTGCATCTCATAAATGAAACAAGTATCTGCTGCTCTAAATATAAATATAATTCAAGTTCCTGTTGTGCTTTTAATAGTGGAGTAACTGGAAACTCTATTTGTGGTTCGGGTGTTGGGAATATAAAGTGGCCTCTGTAGTCAGATGTCACATGAACGGACAAGTGGGTAATGCCAGAGGTGAATCATTCTGTCAAAATGAATTTGGATTAAGTGATATTCCAGCCAGCCTCTGCCCATGGATGCGCGATCTCAGCGTATAGAGGAGGAAGATCAGACAGCTATCTAATTAGCACAAGTGCTGTTTTGTGAGCTGTACATTGATAATTATTTTTGGAATAAAGGAAAGTGTATCTGCTCTAGAAACCCTTTTTCTGTGTGTGAGATTCTGCTTGGCAGCTCATTTAGACTCCAGACTCCTGAAGAGCACAGTGTTAGCTACTAACAGCCTTAATGCTCCCTTGAAAAAATGGTAGCTTTGAGTTTCCTGCATTGCTTTATACAGCAAATGTCCCAGGGCTATTTTTGCTTTCTTCCAAAAAAGCTGCAAGCCTAATAAAAAGGGGAAGAATTAGTCTAAAGGGATGAAGCTAAAAGGACATTGACATGCAGCTTAGACATACAATGAAACAGATCTTGACAGGGTTTGAGAATGAGCTTTTCTTAACTTGCTTTCAATCTGTTGTTTAGAAGTAATTTCTTAAATATGCTTTCACCTTCTCTGTACTAACTAATGTTGATAGTGGGCAGTTATGGAGCAATTTCTTACCCAGATGCATAACAGAGATGCTGGCTGAGGTGCAGGCTTGTCTGGGGGAAGCAAATGCTCCCTGTGCTTCACTGCAACAGGAATGGGAAAGATGAAGAGGTTTTACTGAAAAGTTGCCATTTCTTCTTCTGCACTCATCTTCTAACTTCATTTCAGCAGACAACTACATTTTCTCACCAACATTATCATCCTGAAGTGGCACTTTCTTCTACTAACCACTGGATTAACGTTTATAAATGTATATGATTTATAAATCATAAAAGCCACGGGAGTTTTGTTTCAGAATTCCTGTAAGAGAGGGTGGAGATGATAAATCATAGCAATAGGTTAAATGTAGAAAAGAAGAACATAAGCTGAGCAGCAGAACACATGCTTGGTGACAAGATCTGTACCTGCAGAGCTGTGTCCTTCAGGAAATACTGCACGGGCTGCTCAGGACTGGGAGGAACAGGCTGCAGTGGGACTGAGGTTCTGGGCTCAGTCATTCTGTCTTGCTTCTCCCCTCTTTCAGGGTTGTTCTTTTGCACTAAGCACCCTGAATTGTTCTTCCACACACTCATGTAGCACAGAGCTTGTATTAGGAAAAGTTGCTGGCTGTTACTGTTGGGCTGCAGGGCCTTTGTCTAGTAGAAGAGCAAAGGTTAAGGCATCTTGTCCTAGTAAAACTATCCCAAAGTAGCACAAACTGAAAGCAGGTTTGCCTGGGTGCAGAAAACTGATGGGCACCAACAGTTTCAGGTGAACTTGGACTTGATACGGAAGGGAATGGAAAACCTCAGCAGCAAAGTGAGCTGCTGGATGAAGGCTGGTCGTTGGCCATAGAGAAAGTGCAATGTGCGTGTGCTTGGCTTGGGCACATCCCAACACTTTCAGCACCTAACTGGGATTTGCATCCTTTGTCACTGATGCACCCATATGGGGGTGGTGTGGCAGTGAGCACAGAGCCCTGATGAGCTGAACTGACTGCAGCTGCCACGTGGTCCCTACTGGTCTGGGCAGGTGACTGTGCATATCTCATTATCTACTCCATCATCCTGTGTCATCTGTTAACTTGAGTAGCAATTATTTTAATTTTCCTTCCCAGTGTTATTAAGGATATTGAATTATACTTGGCTGAGCTCAGGTCTTTACAGAACCTCATTAGAAATATCCCTCGTGAACAATGATTCTGCAATTATAATTCTTATTCTTATCAGCTAATTAGTTGTTAATCTTGTTAATAGGTGCCACATTGCTTTTTTATTAGGCTATTTTTAACAAAGCATTGCACAGTGCTTGGTAAAATGTTTTATAGAAGTCTAAAGATAGCGTGCCTGCATAGTTACTAATGACGTTTATAGTCAGACGTTGTTTGTTGGAAATACCTGCTTCCATCCAACAGAAAGATGGACGTGAAGTGTGCCACCATCTCCTGGCTGTCAGCTGCTCCATGACCTTGCCCACACCAAGGACCCACTTGCTGCATTACACATGCACAGGGCTGTCTGTTAGTCTTTTTCAAACCTGGCCAGTTAGTTGTATTGCCTCTGAGCTCCTCTGGGCAGAGAAATCACCTCACTGTTTTTTCCACATCCTTTCAGTGCAAGTGACCTGGCCATATGGATCTAAACACATTAAATACAAACTGCTTACAATCCTGTTTAATTCATTTCATTGCTGCTGCAAAATTATCTGTCCAGTACTTCAAAGTGAGAACGTGCTTCAGCTCAGTGCTGTGTCCTCTCTGGACTGGCAGCTCCTGTGGTCATTGCCATTACACAGTTGTCCTGCAATACATCTTTTCCATTATTTGAGACATCACCTAACTTCTCGCTGTGAACACGGATCTTTTCTTCTTAGTGGCCTCGTTGGAGTTCATGCAGTTTTCTTGCTGGTACTTTCTGCTGTTCTCACCGTGTTCTTATCAGTTGTCTAAGTTACAGGCTTTGACACAATGTTCATAACTTCCATTTCATGTGCATCCTTTTACATTTAGTATTTGTTGTTTGGAGTGGATTTTTAACTGGGAAAACCCTTCTTCCAGTTATGAAAGTGCTGCATTTGGGGACTTTTGTTTTCTGTGGTTTGGGGCCTTTGTGTGTATTGTCGTGCATCCTGAATTGCTGTAGGGGAAGGTTGTTCCTGGCACGGTGTGGTTATCATTGGTGGTAACTTTGCATTAGTGCATTCTACTGAAAACACAAAACAACAAAAGAAGCCGGATTTTTTTCACCAGAAGCGTTTTAGTGATACTTCATTGTCAGTTGTGGAAATGTGAAACAAGGGAAAAAGAATGGGGAGAAGTTCAAAGCAGGCCTGTATGCTTAGGCAGGACTTAATATTTACAGCACTTTGCTTCCTCACTTAATGTAATTAGGGATTAGGAAGAGAAACCTGTATAATTACCGCTTCAATATGATTAACTGTACAAGTGTGGTAAAGCCATTTGTCTCAATATATACCTGTGTGTTACTGCAAATAATTGTTATTATATTTTTTAAGATGGAACAACAGGCTGCACGGGAAACCAATTATTAAATAGCTCTTCTGAAGTGGTTCTCTCCTTGGAGGAACACCCTTCGTGTAGGGGGGAAAGTGCTCACAGCAGTTCAGAAGGAACTCCTGAAAGAGCTGCCTTAGAATGCTGCAGCGTGTGGGAGTCTGTGGGTGTGTGTGGATGTGGAGGTGCATATGGAATTACCACATATGTGACTTTTCCAGCTTCGGGATCTGCAGGGAAAGGAAGCCGCCCGGTGGACGTGGGGCCGGACTACAAACCCCCGCTCAGCGGTAGGTGTGATGTGCTGTGCTGTGCTGGAGTGACTGCACACTGTTCCCAGCCCTGATCAGATCTGTTTCCCTAACTTTTTTCTCTTTATGACACGATTTCCCACTCAAGAAATCGTATCAGACTTCTCTCATAGCTGTGTATGGTATTTGGAAGAACTACCTTCACAGGCGTTTGCATTTAAGTCTGACAGTGGATCTTGTTCTCTGTTCAGTTTTAAATGGCTGCTATAGAGCACAAGTGTAAAATTAACTCAGTGAGAACACATCAGGAAGGAGAAAAACCATCTTAACCCCTTCTCCTTATTAGCACAGTGCATTGTGGCAGCCCTGCCCTGCAGTAGCACTCATTAGCATTACATAGAATGTGTTTTCCTTTGGAGGAGGGTGCCTGCAGTTGAATACTGATAGGATTCATGTGATTACTGGGTCCAAAGGAATGCCCACATTGTTTTAGTTCTAGCAAGGTCCCGTGTTAACTCCTCAGACTCTCAACTATTGGATTTCCTTATGGCAGCTGTCTGAGTAGGGTGAACTTGAAGTTTTGTAGACTGTTAGTTGGAAATGAATCAATTAAGTGGCTTATCCATGTAACAATAGTACAGAAACACAGCTTGTGAATGACGAAAGAATAAGTAAGCATTTCAACAGAATTCCATCCCGCTCGCTTCACTCATCTTGTTCCCAGCCCGGATCGGTGCCCCTTGCTTCTGATGGGGATCTTCTCCAAGTCTTTAAGATAAATAACCCCTCTCTCCCTGCTCCACAGGCAGTAACAGTCCCCATGGAAGTCCGACGTCTCCCTTGGATAGCAACATGCTACTTGTCATCATAGTGTCTGTTGGGGTCATCACCATTGTGATAGTGGTCATCGTTGCCGTTTTCTGCACTCGTCGTACCACTTCTCACCAAAAAAAGTAAGCTGTCTGGGTGGCAGTCAGCCCCGTCCTATCTTTCTCCTTTAATTCTAGTTAATCTTTCCTTTATGATGGTATAGAGTTTTTTACATTGAAGTCTAGTGGGCTGTAGAAGCCATGTGCTGAGATCCAAATAACAATGCAGTGCTGGAACATGAGTTTGAGTTCTGGTGTTCAGAAGATAACCTAGCTGTATTGGTGGGTGTTGTGGTGGAGATGATTGTGATGTTCTTCTGCTCTTCCTAATCAGCATTTCAGAATTTGCAGCCATCAGCTGTTTACAGAATTGAACAATGCTTTTACATAGACCTGCACCTCTTCCTTTCTGAAGATAAATTATTGTTTAAAATACTGGGATTATCTTGCATTCCTTTTTGAAAATCAACTCTGTATGTTTGCAAGTAATCACACCAAGCTTTGATGGGTGTCCTGCTGCAAGCTCAGATGGTCATCTGAGAGCTGGCATCTTTTCTTATGCAGCTTCCATTGCTGCTTACACCAGGATCAGAGGCAGAATCAATTCAGACAGGGCAGCATGCTGGCCTAACTCCTGTGTTTCCAGTCCTGAGCATCTGTGTAGAGCTGTGTGAGATCAGCAGCTCAGACACATTCTCACTTCTGTTTGTAGCACGTGCTTCACTGTGTTGGAGCAGGTTTCCAAGCAATGCATAATTTTTAGATAGATGACTGGAGTAGAACCTGGAGTAGAGAATATAAATATAGGGGTATATCTGACTTCTGCCCTCATTTTGGTGACAGAAATGATGCTTCCATTCATGAGCTCCTGAATGTTGTTTCTACGTGTTCTTTCAAAGAACTGAAGAGAACTGAACTTTTTTTAGAATATGAAGAGATTCTTTTGTGCAAAGCAGAGTTTTAAGGAAGTGATAAAAGTCAAACTTCTAAGATAATCTCCACTTGTTTTGCTCAGTTTGAACCATTCTGCCAAAATGCAAATCCTTTCAGAACGGAACGTGGTCAGGTATCTGAGCCACGTATCCCAGCCATGTCTGGCAACTCCCCTGCCTGGGAGGGACAACTTTCTGTCATTGCCAAGGTCCAAAGTGAGTATGTGGGCAGTACAGTGCAAGAACTCTAATTTTCAATTTTCCAAAAACCCTTCTTGTCAAATGTGTAACAAGGAGCCTCACATGTGCTGTAGTTAGTTGTGTCTAATCTGAACAGCAGTAAAATGAACGTTCTTTCATTAGTCTTCAGGTTAACCATGCTATTGGGGTAATGGGCTATTTCCACGCTCTTGCAGCTATTGTTTGAGGTTGTTTGTAAGCCCTGGAGTACAGCACAGCATGGTGTATGTGCACTTCATGCTTAGAATATTCCCTCAATAGCTATAAGCACTGGAAACTTAATTTTTGTTAATGGAAGCTTAGACTTCCATAGTGTGTATAGCACAGTTCTGCAGTATGTGTACCATTGGAGACAGAATTCTGCATCAGAGTTGCGGAATATGCAGGGCTATGCTGAGATGCCAGATGTGCTTATATGTAAAATTCAAAGCTTCCTGCCCAGTGGGTGGCTTTCGCTCAGCTGGATACAAGATCAGAAAGAAATCTCAATGAAAATTTGCCTTTTTCCACCAAGTGAAGGGAAGCATACATCTAAGAACATGTTATTTGTTTTCCCTCCCGAGGAAACGGGCTGCCTGCAAATCAGTGAATGGGTCCCACAAGTACAAAGGGAATTCCAAAGATGTCAAGCCTCCTGACCTTTGGATCCATCATGAAAGACTGGAGCTAAAACCCATTGATAAATCTCCAGATCCCAATCCAATCATGACAGATACCCCAATCCCTCGCAACTCCCAGGACATCACCCCAGTTGATAATTCCATGGACAGCAATATTCACCAAAGGCGGAACTCCTACAGAGGTGAGCCACCAGCAAGTACTTTGATCCTGAGAGTTTGAATATATTTTACTGTATCTGGCAAAATCTCTTTACTGAAGTTTTCTAGGCCATCGTATTTCTTTGTTCTTAATTTCCAAGTAGTTAATTTGCCTCATGCTTAGTTTATAAGGCTGTGTACAAAGGAAGAATTGTGTTTTAGTGAGAAAACTGAAGCACAAGAGTTGGATGATTTATCCTTTTGTAACAACTGATCAGTTTTCAGTTGTTCATGTAACAGGTGTGTGCAGGCAAGCACGCAGTTGGGTCTGTGTTTGCCCGATGGCCTTGAGAGTCCTTCCAGTGCCCAGAAAGCTTTACATTAACTGTCCTCCTCCTGGTGAAGGATGGAGGAGCTGGTTTTGTCCATTGCGAGTCACAAAACTGCTTACCTACAGGAGAGCCCTCCTACACACCCAGAAATAATGAGAGGAGGATTAAAATCATTTTGGTATGGTATCACAGAAGTCTTGCTGCCATGCTATATAACCTTCATTATTCTTCCTGCAGGGCATGAGTCGGAGGACAGCATGTCCACGCTGGCAGGAAGAAGGGGGATGAGGCCCAAGATGATGATGCCTTTTGATTCTCAGCCTCCTCAGCGTAAGTCTACAGCCCACCTAGCTGCCTTGGAACTGGGAGCACTCAAACAAGCTGTGTTGATATGTATGCACACACACCCACAATGACTTACAGTCTTTCCACTTAGAATCTCCTAAGTAATTCTCCCATATCTGCAAGGAAACGGTTCAAAGAAAGCATCCCAAATCCCCTGTTGTGAAGGCAGTGTTTGAGTGAGCAGGTGGTGTACTGCAAACGGGAGTGAATTAGGAATGTGTCAGCAGACTGTCTCAGCCTTCAGCAGTGGCAATTGCGGGTGCTTTTTAGGGAGATGTGAGCCTGGCTACTTTTTATAGTCCATCCCTTTGTGTTCTGCCAGCTGTAACACATGAGCTGTAGAGGGTACATTGCCACCAAGAGTTTTGTTGTCTAGTTACTGACCTGCTAACCAGGTCTAACCCCTTTCTGAATTTGCTGTCTGCTTCTAGTCTCCCATGGCAGTGAGTTACAGACATTCAAAATGTGATGTCTCATATAGTTATTTGTATTGTATTTTTTTAACCAATCTCTTACTGGCTTCAATAAGTGATCTGTCATTCTAGTATTAGAGTTGGTCAGTCTCCACTGGGTTCATCTCCACCATTAGTCATCTTCTTCCCAGCCATGTAGTACAGCCTTTTGAGCCTCTCTTTATGAGGCAGCTACTCCATCCCCTTGATCCTAATCTTAAATATTTCTCTGATTGCTTCTGGGTCTGGGTCAGCAACACAGATAACTGATTAAAGCTAGTCCCACCAGCACCGGTACGTGGGGAATCTCTGCTGACTCTTCTTCACTTTGAAAATATATGGAGTTACTGGCACCATCTTGAAACTTTCACAGGAATCATGTTCACTCTTTCCTCTGTGGCCATGTTTACCTGTGCCTGCCTTGACCTTAGTCTTTCACCGAAACATCAAAGAGAACTGTTCTCCCCAGTGCTGAGTTCCTTGTGAAGTAGGTCTTGACCAGTCTATAATTTAGAGCCCACCCTCACAAGGCAAACAGAAATCAGTATGAATGCACACCAAAGCACAGTAGTGGCTCAGGAGCAGCTTCAGACACAACTCAGTCACCTGGTGAGGGAAGATGAGAACTCAGCAGTGTGTCACCATGGCTCAATGCAAGACATTCCTGCTGGTGAGATAGTTCCAATAGTTCCATAATATACTGAGCAGCAGAAACAGCTTTGAGTTGTAATGCTGTTCTTTTTTTTTTTTTTTTCTTAAACCAAAAGCCTCTGCAGTAGGTACAGCAGAACTGTTCCACAGTGTGTGTGTTACACTAATGTAGTAGACTGTGTTTCTGTCACTGATAGGGACTGAGGCTTTTGGTCTGGCAGAGCAGACTTCTAAATAAGGAGGCTGTCTGGTGTTACTTCTTATTTATGTGCTTCACTATCAATTAATGATCTGTCGAGCAGAAGTGCTAACTTGTGTTCCTATCGCTTCAACAAAAATTCTTTTTCTTACTATGAAATATTTTAAGCATTAGAGCATACCTCTGTTCTACAAATGATGGAATTCTGAGGTGAAACGGGTCTTTGCTAAACCTCCCAATAACTAGACTGAAACTCAGGAGCTGAAATGTATTTCAGGAGTAATATCTACTTTTCTTGCTTTAAAGTAAGTAGTCTGACGCTTCCTGTTTTCTCCGAGCTTTAATGTATCGGGGAAGACCAGAGGATAGATTGATGCTAATCACCTTTATTCTGGTTTGTTTCTTCAAAGTTTGTCTGCTGTCAAAGATAGGTGTCTAACAAGGTGCATGGCAGCTGATGATTTCCACAGTGCATTCAGACTCGTGTGACCCCATAGAAATACAGACTGCATGGAGTCTTCCTTTGCACTCTGACACTGAGTGTGTTTTTCTCCAGATGAGATACAGCATTGGATGAACACATCAGAGTACACACAGCAGCCAGTGCTGAAGCATGCTGCACAGAAGTAGCATAGCAATGTGTGCCTCATACTACGTTAATTCAGTGAGAAAGACTTCTCAGCAGCTTACCTGATGAGCCCCTCATAGGATGGAAGATGTGCAGCTGATAGGTACTGTGATAGGTACAGTGGTGGCACACATCTTACGAAGGCAGCATATTGCAAGTGCACTGCTTGATGGTATTGAAGCTGATATGATGAGGCTGACAGATACAGTTGCGGATATGATTTTTCCTTGCAGCACCAAACCTAGTTTTGACATCTTATTTTGATACCGGCTCTACTGTGTTTGCTTGAGAAGCCTATCTGTTATTCCTGCCTTATAGAGTGCTGCTTTCCCAGAGAGGAGGAGTGATGCACAGACACAGCTGGCTCAGTGCAGCAGGTCAGCACAAAGGAGAAGTAAGGCCTTCTGGTGCCTCAGGGCTTGAAGTTGTTCTTGTGACTTCAACGTTATCTCCTGTTTGCAAAAGCTCCAGAGAGTTGCAGCTGTAGACTTCTGGTCAGTGAAAGCATTAAGGAATTGAGTGCCTTTTAGATACTTTTGGCAGAAGCTATGCAGAACACTGACATTCTGATACATGAGGCCCTTCTCAGTAAGCAGCATAGGTAGGACCATTCCATGTGCTTGGAAGCACTTGGAATGTGCACATTCCAAGTGCACATTGGAAGCACAGCCAAGTCTGTGGCTGCAGATAACTTCCCTCTGCTTTTTTTTTTCTCCCCCACTGCTGTGTTCAAATTTACCTCTTATACTAAATTAGGATAATTTAATGTTCAGTTATATTTTAATGTACAACAGTGCAACAGGAATGGCGTGTGCCTGGCAGGTCCCTGCCTTCTACAAGAGGAAAACAAAACTTCTGGAGGGATGTTAAGAAGCAGAGGCCTATTCATTTTTTAACTCATCGCATTTCTTTGTCTGTTTCTCAATATGAGTTTTTTGCTTCTTTGAAATTAAAAGGCACATCATAGTCTTCATGAAGGTCTGGTGGCACAATGCGCTGATTTTTGAGCAGGAAGGCTACGTGATTCAGATCTGATAACCCATAATACTCATTGCAAAGTTGCCCTCAGCTTAAGCTGGATGGCAAAGTGGGATGCTGCACTTACCTTCCTGTGGGTCATTCTTCTCCCCATTGCTCACTGGATACAGCTGCAGATAGTGTTTCAGAGCTACTACAATCTTGTTTACACTTAATTGTATGCTCTGCAATGGACGTGCCTCCTACCTCACCAACAGGACGACTCCTGTGTCTCTGATGGCTGTCATCTCTGCCATGGCTTCTGATCACTCAGCTCTTACAGAGTGTTCCTCCATTTGCCAGCTCCCTGCGAGACGACGCAGCATTTCAGTCTTCCTCGAAGCTGTTAGTGACAGCACCTCATATTTTACTGTGGCCGTATCCCCTTGCAGCTCTTTCACCAGGATTTAAATCTCGCACCGAGCGCTCAGTATTGTGTAGTCATCTGCATTTACAGGAGGCTGATAATAGAGATGGCTTTCTGTTGGGCAGACATAATGGGAGAGGAAAATCTGTTGTTACCAATAGCTGTGCACATTGCCTCCTCTGATCAAGTCACACACTGTGACAGGCTGGTTTCTAGGAAATGAAGGAGTCAGAGAGTTCAGGTTTGTTTAGTTGGCCTTTGAGTTCAAACTGTATTCATCAGAGCAAGGAGTCTTAACCAGGCTCAGTGTTACAATGACAGAATTGTTTGTGTCTGTTCTAGAAAGTGCATTTCAAAGCCAGCACGTGTGGGGAATTTCCAGGAAAAGTTCAGAATGAATGACCCAGCACAGCCATTTCTCTGTGGTGTTGGTGGTAGCGCTGAAGTTCAGCCTTTCCCTTCTGTTTTCTGTGCTGAGACTCTTTCTTCTCAATGATTTGAAGCAATTTAGTATTTTATGCATCATAAGAATTAAACTGTGTGCACACTTTTCCTCCCATGTGTGGAGTAGTGGGATTTTGCTGTTACAGCAGGAGGGTGAGGGCAAAGGATGACTTACAGTAAGTATAAAATTCATCTGACTCCAACAGAAAAAATAAAACAGGAAGATGGCAGAGGAGAAAAAAAAAAAAAAGAAGAGGTTTTTGTTTGAGTGCATTGGAGCAGAGTTTACTAACTGTACAGAGGGAATGAACAGAGCCTTGAGTGTCTTCTCCTACGCTTAATTGTCTTACGTTAATTAATTAACCAAAAATGCCGCATTTAGTTAAAGTGCTGAGAAACTCAATGACTGCCAAAAATGATAGTGGAATTTGAGCTTGTGTCTTTCTTCTAGTAAGTCTAACATTTATAGCATCATGTGAAATACGTGGAAGTTCTAAAGGGAGCTGAACTTTGTTCTTCTCATGTGCAACAGAAAGCTCTTGGAAGATGCAGCCAAGAGAGATTTTGCTGCACAGCAAAATGGAGGTGCTGCCTCTGGGGGGGTTGTTGTTGTCTTGGTGGGAGCTAAAGCATAGAGCAGAGCTGGAAAATTGGCACTGAAATGTTGTCTTGGTGTCACGAATGTGCCGAGCAGTTGGCTCTTTTGCTGTGGGAGAAGGGAGGGATGTGGTGCATTTCAGGACATGTGCACGTCTGTCTGTACGTTAAGCATTTTTCTGTCTTGTGTTCATTCACAGCTGTGATTAGTGCCCATCCCATCCATTCACTCGATAACCCTCACCATCATTTCCACTCCGGCAGCCTCGCTTCTCCAACTCGCAGCTATCTCCATCACCAGGTCAGCCCGTGGCCGATGGGCACATCCATGTCCCATTCAGACAGGGCCAATTCCACAGGTGAGATACAAATGTCCAGGCAGATTTTGATTGTTATGGAACAATGAGTGAAATGTGGAAATGGAGAGCTGGAATGGAGCTTGGTCAGCCTCTGCTGGGGCTTTATAGCAGGACCGACCCAGCTGGTACATTTCCTTCTTTTGCTGTATCTCTTTGTGCTGAATGAAATTACAGTTGTGAGGTTTTTAGATGGCAGCTGCAGTTTCACCTAGCACTGTATTTGCTTCAGTAGGTGACCCACAGCACGTTTTCTGCTTCGTTGCCAAAAAAAGACAGGGAAAAGGAATGGAGGGAAAGTTATTTCCTGTAGAGGCAGAGGGATGGGTTTAAGCACAGACAATATCCTTGTGTTAGATTGAGTTTTCTGCAACCAGCTTCTTGTGTAGCTCAGGTATCGATCATTTTGGTAGGAGATATTGCCCTTTGGAAAGGAAGTTTAATGTTTTGTACACGCTTCAAACAGGAGGACTCCTTATTCTAAAACCTTCAGCCCTGGAGTCTGAAACATCCATTTGCATCCAGTTGGAGCAAGTTAATTTGATAATAACTTTTCTAAGTAGTTGTATTTAAATGTAAGGGAGGACTAAGGTCCAGACTTTGTTCCTGGGGCGCTCTGGTTAATCTGCCAGAAGCACAAAGAAAACTGTGGTGTTTCCTGTGCAGTGCTTTTCAGGCTTGAAGCGCAACCCATCACAGTGGCTTTTGTAACATCTCCAGTGCTGTGAAAAACTCTGAAGCAACAGTATTGCTAGAAAACAAGTAGGTAACATCTAGAGTTGAAGTGAATTATGGCTTCTCTAGTTCAAGGTCAAAATTTTAATTAAGATGCCAGAGCCAAGACAATAGTTGTTTCCTATTTCCGTATGAGAGCACGGTATAAGGCTGCAGTATGCCAGCAGACAATGTCTGAGAGGCAGAGGTTCCTTGCTCTGTTTGTACCTTTGAAGTAGCAGCTCTTGCTGTCCGGTTCTTGTCCTGCATGTGCTCTGAGTGGGCTCACGGTGCCCTGAATTCATGATGCCATTCCATTTGTCCTTTCGGCTCAGGGTGGAGCCTGCTGCCTGGCATTTCATTTTAGCTTTCAGCAAGTAAAGGGATTTGGAGTCTGTCAATCATCTTGGAAAGAAAACTGGCTCTTCTGTATGTGCTGCAGTGTTACATGCATACATGTACCTATGTAACAATTCCAGTACTGTGAAATACTGAAGTGTAAAACGAGAGGGAAGATTTGAGTCCCACACTGTGGTCCAAAGTGCCAACTGTGTCTTGTGACACACAGCTGTGCCAGTGCAAAACTGCTGGTTGGTGTTGTACCTGTGGCCTCAGTCTGTTCTCAAGCTTTTGTCGGAGGGCAGCAGTTGCAGTTTACCTTCAAACAGGACAGTTGCACAGAGCTGGTGGTATTTGGTCAACCACTCCTTAGCTTAAAACAGCAATCTTGGAAAAAGCACTTGTCAACACTGCTGCTTTGTTTCCATTTGACCACAGGGACCGTTTGTGTTCCAGAAAACAAACCACATGTTTTGGTCTGTTGTAGAATCCGTTCGGAACACACCGAGCTCCGACACCATGCCGGCCTCCTCATCCCAGCCGTGTGCAGACCACCAGGACCCCGACAGCAGCTCGGGTGCTTACCTGGGCAGTGCACAGGAGGAGGACGCGGCCCAGAGCCTGCCCACAGCTCACGTCCGCCCATCCCACCCGCTGAAGAGCTTTGCAGTGCCAGCAGTGCCAGCAGCCGGCTCTGCCTACGACCCCGCGCTGCCCAGCACCCCGCTGCTGACCCAGCAAGGTGAGTGGCAATGGGCAGGGATGTGTGAAGACAGGAAGGGATTGGAAGGAGAGAAGGGTACGGGGGTTGGAGGTGTGAGGTAAGGTAGAGGTGGGCACTGAAATGAATCCTTTTTATTCTCCTAACAGCTTTCTGAATAGGCAGAGAGCTGAGGCCTAATTGTGTAACAATTTCTTTTAAGCTCCCTCCCATCCAGTTCACTCAGTGAAGACTGCATCGATTGGGACTTTAGGAAGAACACGGCCTCCCATGCCTGTGGTGGTTCCCAGTGCCCCTGACGTGCAGGAGACCACCAGGATGCTCGAGGACTCGGAAAGCGTAAGTACCCTGAACTGCCAGCAGCTTCCTGGGGCCAACCTCAGTTTGTGTGATAGCTGTAAACTTCAGCAGTGACTGCACTGAGACTTCCAAAGGCAGAGGACAATGAGACTTCTGGCTTGCACTGACTGCCATTGTACGTAAACCCACATAAAAACATCATCTAGTGCAAATACCTTCTATGCAAGGCTGTAAGTTCAGAGGATAAGCACCTAATTGCAAGCATGAGTGGTACTTTTTTAGATCAGAAGATTACCTGTGACCGTACCGCTCTTCCTGTTTGCACAAAACAGATGCTGTGCTTCCATCTATTCTGGTCCACAGAGCCCACCAAGTCAAAACTGATAAATCTTCAGCAATATTTTGTTTGTCCTGAGGCTATTAGCTGAAAATAGAGTAATGTTCTCTAACACTTCCTTTCTAATTTCTCTTCTTGTGCTCAGTGCTGCAGGTTTCTTGCTAGCCTACTGCAATTACAAGAGTGAAGCCCAGATCTGTCTGTAGCAGTTCTCTTGATTCTTTTCAGCACCTAATGGAGTTTCAGTTTATGCCTTTGGCTTCTATTTGCAGGAACTGTAGAAGTTCCCTGCACATCTGATTTTTGCCTGCTTTCATTTTGCAAGCGTGCTGTGCATGGATTCTCTTAAAGCCATGCAGCTGCTGCTTATGCTGCTGTGTAGCTGCCAAAGCATAGGAGTGTCACTGCAAATGAAGAACTAACAATTGATGCCAAAATGCTTAAAGCTAACATCACAAATAATATGTTTCTGTGAAAGTAATCTGGGAAAAATGCAACAGTTGAGCCTCATTAAAATAGGCAGCTTTTAAGAAGGAAGGATGTTTGATGCATCAGGCAAGAGCTATTTTCCTTTGAAAGTGCAAGCCAAGAAGTTGTTGTATTAGCTGTTGTGTAACTGTTTGAATGATTTTCTTTTCTTATTTTCTTTTTCTCCTCTCCTCGTATCATTCTGGTGTCTTTAATTCACCCTCTTGATTGTATTCTGTAAGTCTGGGCTAGAGATTGTATACGTGCTTGATTTGGTGCACTTTTGCCCTTCTGTTGTCACTCCTACCTTTCATATTTATTTAGTATTGATACCAAAATACTTATAATTCATAAATAATATTTATATTTTAAATATACTCATGCATAAAGTTAGCCACTGATAAATTTGTACAATATAAAGTCATCGTGCATACTTTATGCTCACTAAAATAGGAGTTATAGAAGGTAGGTAGGATTAGAAAGTGATCCAAGTGGATTGAGCTTTTAGAATCATAGAATAGCCTGGGTCCACAGTGCTCATCCAGTTCCACCCCCCTGCTATGTGCAGGGTCATCAACCAGCAGACCAGGCTGCCCAGAGCCACATCCAGCCTGGCCTTGAATGCCTGCAGGGATGGGGCATCTACAACCTCCTTGGGCAACCTGTTCCAGTGTGTCACCACCCTCTTTGGGAAAAACTTCCTCCTGAGGATCTTTTATGAGATCCTGAAGGAATATTTATCACTGGCCAACAGTTAGCAGATAACACTTCTGATACAGGACAGAGGGAACTTCTCTGGTACAAAGGAGTCTGGATTGCTTGGTAAGCTGAACATGCCTGCAGCGTTCATTTGTGTCAGTTTGTAGCTGGAAGCATCCTCCCTGGAAGGACTGAGCATTGTAGTATACAGGCAGCTGAGCAGTAGCTTTCATCTTAGACTCCACCCAGAGGGGTCTCATAATGTGCCTCCAACGTACAAGAGCAGAAATGGTACATTTGAGATGTGCTGCCCTGGGTTTGGCAAAAGCACAGCTGGCATTGGAGCTGGCTTATCTCTCTACTCTGAAAACACTGGTGAGAGAATGAGGAGGAGTTGGAGAAATGCTCCAAAAGCAAAAAAAGGAGTTGAAAACTACATCATACTAGGAAAGACTTGCTATGAAAAGGTTCTGGGGTGCACTTGGTCAGAGTGTCTTTGATAATAAAATTAGCAGAGCTGCTCAGTATAGCTGAAGCTAAACAGTTGAGGCTTGACATGGAGGACCATCTAAGTGATCTTAAAAAAAAAATTCTACAGCTGTGATTCTTTCAGCCATTTTTTTCAATTAAGCTGGGGTGATGTTTTCAAAGAACCTACTTGGGTACACATGCAGCCATTGCCTTCAAGGTGGAATTGATACCTGAAAAACAGACAAGATGATCACAGTCTCAAAATCAGTGAAGCTATGAATCACTACTGCAAAAAGATGTTTAATATTTGAGTGTTGTTCCAAGGTATTTATTTCTGTAATGCAATAAATCTGCTTATCTGTGAGTCAGGGCCACAATCTCCACCAGCATCACTGAGCACTTCTTTCTGTTCCTTACACCAAAGGAAGCAAAGCCCTGGCAGTAACCCTTTCCCTCTCCCACAGAGCTATGAACCAGATGAGCTGACCAAAGAGATGGCCCACCTGGAAGGACTCATGAAGGACCTAAATGCCATCACTACAGCATGACCACCTTCACCAGGACATGACTCCAGATTGTTTCACACGTCTTGGGACTCAGCCTTGGAACACAAGGAGTTGTACAGTAAAAAAAAAAAATACAGAAGAGGGACAGCACATTGAGAGCATCCCCAGGAGGCAGAGGAACCAATTGGTGCATTTGTGCTACAGCTGGTCAAAGAGGAACGACCTTCCCAGCCATCATCCTGTAACAAAGTCACACCAAGCTGAGTTCCATTTACCTGCTGAGTCCGTGCAGGATGGGACTGAAATCTAGCATCCAGACAAAAGGAAAGAGAGTGGACTTCATGAGGTTTTTTTTTTCCTGGTCAGGTTTTGTCTCAGTGGTGTGATTGCCCTACCTTTTCAGTGTTGGACATTCGCATTTATGTACAATTTTGTGTTTTTATTTTATCTTTTTTTTTTTTATATATATAAAAAGGAAAAAAATAATGTAATCAAAGAAAAAAAAAAAAAAGGAGAAACTATTGTTTTCCACAGCCTAGACTGCTTGTTCTATTGTGTATGAAAATTCATTGCCAGTGTGGGTTGTTCTATTTTGTTTTTTTATTCTGCATATAATTACGTCCCCTTCTGGCAGTTAATCCATGGCCTTTTGGGATGCTGCACTGTTATTTGTAAGCTTTTTTTTTTATTATTATTTTTATATTATAATTATTAAAAGCCTGACTTTCTCCTCTCATCACTGTGAGATTACCAGTCTGTTTGAATTGAAATGTAATTTGAAAGGCTTGTTTGTTGCTTTTTGTGCAGTTTCAATATTTTGAGTGGGGAAAAGTAGATGGGGAGGGAATCCAGGGGGAGGTTTCATTATTGTTGTTTTCCTGTCTTTCTACATTGACTCGAAAGACCGAAGAAAATGAAAGCATCTTCTGTAACGTCCTTCCTTGTAACTCCAGCATACTGTGTCTCTGGTTACTGAATTGCAGTGAGAGCCTCATTTAGAAACATTAAAAAAATTTCCTCCTGTAAAGTAGGGTTCCTTACATTCAGATGACACTGCTGCTTGTTTTGGCAACGGTGCTGTTTTGGTGTTGTTAGGTTAAAGGCAGCTCTGTGGGTGCTAGGAGCTGCCTGGGCCTCTCCTAAATCAAAGGGTATTTTCCATCTTACCTTACACTGTGTCCACAGAACCCTTCAGCAGCAAGTCCAACCCCAGTGCAGTTTCTCCACCCCAGGCCCTTTAAACAAGAACTCTTAAGGATTCTTGAGAGATGTAAGCAAGGCAAAATGTATTTTTTTTTTCTATACATTTGAAAAGAAAAACAGTATTAGTGACTCAGGTGCTGTTCATGTATCTGTCTAGAAAGGAAGGAAAATCCAAAGGGAAATCCAATGCGAGGGGAAGGAAAATCTTAATCTATTTCCTCCTTACGTAGACAATTGCTTGGCTCTGCCGTAGTCTGAGGAAGAATGGTGTAAGAGGAGGGACTGTATCTTAGTAAGGAAAAACAAAAACAAAACAATCAGAGAAACAAAACTCATCTGCCCAGGAAACCCGAACTCGTATGGATTTTCATTTCTAAGATGAAAGGAAACCCCAAACTTACTGCCAGGGAGAAGCTGTTGGATTTCTCGTGGAAGCTCAGAATTACCAATAGAGGGAGTGCAGGTACCAGCAGGCACTTCAGAGCCCCCAGCTGCACCTGCAGGCACAGATTGAGCTGTTTGCTCAAGATTTAACAGAGCAAACAAAACCCCTATTGCTTCCCACCCCTTGCATACTTGTAACTAAAGCTCTGGGCCCACATTCCTGGTGCCAATGGCTGGGGAAAGGAGAGCCAGTCAATGTTCCCAGAGCACAGCAGGCCTTGGGCTGTGGGTTTACTTCCTTTCCTTGCCTGGACTCTTTGTATCCTCATTTTTAGCTCAGTTGCTGGGTTTATTTATTATTTGAGGGGAGGGAGGAAATCAATGAATTGGAGCACTGTGGGCCACCTGGAAAATTGATGTTTGGACTTTTGATCAATACAATTCAGGGCAAAATAAGCTACAGAGTATGTATTTAAATACTAAGACAGCATACTTGGTCCTGAAAGGAAGGGTGGATGTTTTCCTTCGCCTATTTTTTACCTATACCCAAAGAAATACCATCTTACACACACAGTATTCTTAGCTGGTGGGTCTTTGTGAATATTACTTATGTATAACACCATGAATGTTAATATTGTCATTGAATTCGGGGAGGGGGAATATTTTTAATGATAAAACAACTGTTCAAAGTTGGTTTTTTAAGGTTAAACTAAAAGAAAACATTTATTCAATTCAGTGTACAATCTGTATTGCACTTTTTCACATTTTAATGCTACGTTTTCTTACATATCCTGTGATTTTAAATTTGGACATTGTGTATCCTTGTAGTGTCATAGTCAAGCTGTTGAGTGGCAGCTTCCCTCAGAGAGATTTAGGGAAAAAGCAAACCTGTATATTGTTTTATGATTCTCATGTAGAATAATTTTAAGGACTGCTGTAGACATCTACCTTTCTGTACAATTTTTTTTTTTAAATTTTTTTTTTTTTTTTTTTTTGCTTTTTCTGTAGTATTTGCTGTATACTCTATGGCTTTTTTTGATAACTTCATGTTTATTATTTTGTATTGGACATCCAATACACTTTTTTTAATCCAATCAAATTCTGGACTGTTTGGAGAGTTTCTCTTCTCAGCAACTCCTCTACTTCCCTCAATCAACCCGGGCAGCAGGTTTGGTGAGCAGTGCTTGCACTGTTTGTTGTGGTTGGTCCAGCTGCCCCTCCCGAGGAACAGGAGGGCACCATTCCTCCCCTGCACACACACACAGACCTGAGAAAGCACTGCCTCCCTCACCGAGCTCAAAAGCTCAGTGCAACAGTGCCATTTGTAACAGGCAGGCAGCAGAAGAAAGGATTTCACAGCAGAAGTTCATTTCAGAGAACAGCCTTAAGACAGTGAGACCCAGAGAAGTGATACTAGAATTCTTTAAATATAACCCTCAGAATGCTGTGATATCCTCATCGTTACCTTCATGCTTAATCCAGCCAGCTTCCCCATTTCCTTGCATCCCCATTTCCTTGCCCCACATCCCTGGGGGCATCAGACCCTTCCTTCCTCATCCCAACCTCTGCAAACAGGAATACAACCTACTGCCCTGCTTTGCTCCCCTGCTCCCTCCTCTCCTTACTTTGCTAAGTGAGATCTTGCAAAATTATAGTGAGAGAAACACAGAGGTCTCCGGATTCCACGACCCTGTGACCTGACAGATTCCTCAGCTGTGCCAGAAGCGATGGAGTACATATAAAGGAGTGAAGGAATTGAGAAGAAAGGTGTAAGAATTGGGTTGGGAGCATCAAAGACACAGCGGAGATGCAGGCACAGACAGGCAGTACTGCAGAGATGCGACCTCTGCTAACTCACCTCAAGCAAAAGCAATTCCTGCTCGGGCAGCGCACACAGTTTGCTCTGGTACGTGCTTTGCAGGTCAAACCAGACAAAACGGTGCTGGTGAGGGACGGCCAGCCCATTTTAGGCCAGGTAGGAAGACAGACGAGCAGCTGTACCTTGCACCCTGGTGCAGCACAGGCACGGACACTAGATGGCAGCGACGCCTCGCTGGTAAGCAGAACTGCAAGGCAAAGCCCAACCTGCACCATTTCTGCATCTACCTGGAAAAGATTAATTTGTTTCTCTTCAGCCTCAGTTAGGGAGACTGACATTAGTGACTCTTTTGTTAGCAGCAGCAGCATAGTAATGAACTCATGCAGCAAACTAATTTTTATTCATGCCTCACTGTGTCCTTCCTTAATAGCATTTATGCTCCCAGCATAGGCATAAAGCTTTGACTTACAGCAGCTCCAGCACCTTAGATAAATTGATACAACACTTGCAGGCTTTTCCTAGTAAGAGCAGCTTCCTATCTCAAGACAGAATTGAGTTTAAACAGCAAATAACTTCTCATCTCAAATAAGACATCCCTATGAAAATATGACACAATTTGAGCTCATTTGTCTTTGCCAAAGATGTCAAAGCAATACAGCTTCCCTCCTGGTCCAGGCTTCAGCCAGGTCATGGCTGCCCTTACTACACATAAGAGCAACTGTGGGAGGACAAAGAAGCCAGCTGGTGCTCTGAGGTGTGCCCTGTAACCATCCATAAGCAAACAATGCACAGCTGCCTCCAAGAGGCCTGCCAGCTCCACTGTGTGATGGGTGCCCTGGGAGGCAGGGGGACAATCCCCCAAAAGCACACAGGAAAAGATGCAGGGCTGACAGGATGAGAGGGAGCAGAATGGAACAGAGGACAAAACCCCTCAGCAGGCATGAGGGTAGAAAATGAGAACAAGAGGTTAAAGGGATGGCAGAAGGAAACACCCACAGATCAGACTGTGTACTTGCTTTCTTCAGGCAAGAAGAACCCGAAAGCTATCAATAACTTGTTGGGGAGATGAACCCACAGCCAATGAGGTGGAGCAAAGGATTAATTCTACCCTGAGCTGAATTTCAGCCCCCATTGTCCCACCTTCTTATCTGGGATACAGGACCACGAAGCACTTTTCTAGCACGTACTGATTCTCCTCCACACCTCCACAAGGATGCAGCCAAGGCAGCTGGTTGTCACAGGGCTTGAATGTAGTAGAGCGAACACTAATTTTCCTTGGTGCTTTCTTATAAGGAAATGCTGTTCCCCAGCCCAGCTGTCTCAGCCAGCTACCAAATCCCAGGGGACTGAGTACCTGCAGACCCCCCACACCTATGCCAGCCCTGGTTAAAACATCCTGCAGCACCCCCACCGAAAGCTGGGAGAATTACATGAGATGTAATTCTTCATCACATTGACTTAATCCAAGTAGGTAATACTCACCCTTAGCAGGTTCCAGAAGAGGAAAAAGCACCCACTGATGGTTTTGATGCATCCTCATTTCCTTTTGTTCATTCTAGGCTAACAGCTTCTGTACTTCCACCATTCCATTACAATGGGGCAGGCTGTTCTGGGCTTCCAACCTGAGAGGGAGGAAACAGCAACCCCACTATGAGCCCCTGGGGTTCATAGCTCCTGGCTGGCAGAGCTGGGATGTTCAGATGTGTTCTGGAAAGCCATGATCTGA